ATTTATTTTTTATTAGCTTAAGTTATGTATTTATATGTTTTCGATCTGAATAAACATTATATATCTTTAATTTTTTTATTTTTCAAAATTATAATCTACTATCAAATTTGTTTTGCTAATTATATATATATATATATAAGAATAAAATAATATATTTTTAAATACCTTCATACTAATGGCAAATGTAATTTATTTTCTCTACTAAATTGCCACTTGATCATTCTTTGAAATTATATAAAGCAAATTGTCATTTAAAAAAATTATTAATTAATATGATTATTTTGAATTATAAAATTTATTTATTTATCAAATATTTATTATAAACAGAAAGTTCTGTTTGAACTGTTTGGTTACTGTAAACATATTGTAACTTGAAAATTTAGCACACATAAATTTTATATTTTTACAAAAACCAAGAAATTGAATTTTTCTGAGAAAACAAAAAAATTTCATTTTTCCACAACTTAAGAAATCGCCTATTTCTGCCAAAACTAAAAAAAAAAATCATTTTTTGTCAAAGCTAAAATTTTATTTTCCCACAAAAACAAAGAAATTGTATTTCCCCCAAAACAAAACAAAAAACACATTTTCGTACGAGAACCTGTGTTTTCCCGCCAAAACAGAGAAATCAAGTTTTTTTACCAAAACCAAAATTTCATCTTCCTGCAAAAACAAAAAAAAATCGCATTTTCCCGTCAAAACCGGAAAGATTATTTTTCCGCAAAAACTGCGAAATCGTCTTTTCCCACCAAAACAAAAAAAAAAAATTTCTCATCAAACCAAAAATCACGCCTTCCTACCATAACTGATAAACTACAATTTTTCGCGAAAACCAGAAATTGCATTATCTCTTGAAAAATTGCGTTTCCCACGAAAACTAAAAAATCATATTATATGTCAAAAACTGAAAATTTGCATTTCCCATCAAAACCGAGAAATTGCTTATTCCTGCCAAAATCGAGAATTTTTGTTTTCCCATCAAATCGAGAAATTGCATTTTCCGCTGAACACATCAAATTACAATTTCCCCAAAAACTAATAAATCACATTTTTCCGCGAAAATCAAAATCACATTATCCATATGTATTTCCTATCAAAACTGAGAAATCGTATTTTTCGTCAAAATTGAAAAGTTGCTTTTTCCTTGCCTTTTCAAAATCAAATTTTTTTTCCTCACCAAAACCAAAAATTCACATTTTTCCACTGAACCCGAGAAATCGTTTTTTCCGCCATAACCGAGAAATTATGTTTCTTTACCAAAACTAAAAATCACATGTTCCTACCAAAACCACGAAATTCTCTGTTCCCTCCAAACCCAAGAAAAATTGTTTTCGGTAACCACCGGAAATGCAAATCTTAAAGCTGTGGTGGTATGCACTTCTCCTCATTTGCTTTCAACAAAATAGTAAACTGATTTTATTAATGTGTTAATGATATGTATTATTGTTATGTTTTTATTGGTTTAAATTTTTGCTGATGTGTGAGCTTCTTATAACATAACACTTTTTGCGTTGTTGTTATGGAAGCATAGTTGATGATGAATCTACACTTTCTTTAATCATATACATCTCTATCAAGCAAACACATAGTTAAAAATTTTAATTTTTTTTTGCTGTTATTTATTATTTGAGTTTTGGTTTGACAAAAATATAAAAGAAATATTTTTTTTTTTTATTTGTTATTTATTATTTGGATTTGTGGATGGTAAAAAATAAAATAATTTTTTTGGTGTTATTTATCATTTGGGCTTGAGTTTGGTAAAAAAATAAAATAAAGATTAACAAAGAAAAATATTTGGATTTTTAATAGGTTTAAGTTAAGAATAATAAAAGTTAGTAGATGATGTGTATTAATAAATATTTTGATTGGTTGTTAATTTTGCTGATGTGTCAGTTTTTGGTAGCTTGAAAAAGTTAAGTTGTCAAGCTACGGAGAGACTTTAGTGTTATTGTTGTGTTGATTTCTAGAAGGAGTATATTTGGAATCATGGTGAAAGTGAAACTATCAAGAATTCAATGGTTGCCAAGTTAATGACGAATGTGATCCGATGAAAATAGGAGCGTTGATCATATTTCATCATCTACTGATTTGCTACGTAAAAAGAAAAAAGAATTATTATCCAACTAAGAACTCACTGTAAAGATGTTATTCGTCTATTATAGTATTATTGAGTCATAATGCATCATATATACAGTACTCTACTAAATTTTCATCTTTTATATTAATAATTCAAAGAATGTATTCAAAACCAAAACCAAGATCTTGCGTATTGTGTGATAGATCACGGAAGAACTCAATTGCCCTTCAAACTGAATTGTTCAGAATTAGTTACAATGGTATCATCGGCTAGCTTTCTCCACGAGTATATTTAGATGAATCCAGATGTTTTAGTGACTGTTTCAATTTTTCTGCTGGTTTTTGTTTCCCTTTTAAACATTAAAGCTAATTATTTGGTACGAGCATTTATTCTCCTGGTTTGGGTTTCATGCCCTTAAACTTAATATAATTTCATGGACTTCTCTTAGCAAAGCAAAAGAAGCAATTAATTAGGGCCTCAATTTTTTGAAGACCCACAAATATAAAGTTTTTTTGGTACGAAGCAGGTAATCAGGGCCCAATATTTTTAAGACCCACAAATTTTAAGTTTTTTTTTTTTGGTACGTGTAGGTGAAACTTAAAAGAAAAGTCTTTTAAAACCAAATTTATATAATTCTAATTTATGTAATATTTATTTATTTTAAGTGTACTAACGCAGGATAAGATAATCTTTATCACACAGATTTTAAGTAGTATTAGTCTGCTAGATAAGTTTTTTTTTTGGGATCAAAGTCTATTAGATAAGTTATAATTAAATTTTGCCAAAAGAAGAAGTTAATGTCTAATAGAATAATTCTATTTCAATATGAAAAGATAAACCTTATCATAGAGTAAACCTGTCAGCCAATGAGGCTATGACAAAATTAATAATTAGATATGAATAACAACTAGCAGAATATTCTGTGCTAGTCATATACAGTATATATATACTAATAATATACTAAAATGAAAACAATTATGCAAAAGCAAATAACAGATTAAACTTGTGACTCATTCGATAAGATCAAATGACCAACCCCCAAAACATTTTTAGAATATCGTAATCACTGTATAATTAAAATAAAAAAAAAACAAAATCAGCATATAAGCACAAAGTGACCAATCCCATGGGTACATTGCTGGAGCCAACTACGCGTGCCTACTGTCCATAAACTTCCATTTACAAATTTTCTGTTTAATCAAAATTAGTATAATTTCACCATTGACTATATTTAGTTTTTCTATGTGAATATTATTTTTAACTATAATTACTATGTTCCAAAAATAATTTTTTGATTTCTTATTTTTTGGTTTAATATATTATAATTTTTAATCAAAAAAACTATGACACTATAAACTAAATCATAAAAAAATGTATTATTTATTTTTATAATTTTTAATTAAACCTTGCTAATAATAACTATTGTATTTAAAATTAGCATGTACTCCAATTAGTTTTTTTCATTTTTATCAAAACTTTATGTTTGTAAATCTTAATTTATAAATTAGCTCATTTAAATAACAGTTTTCTATCATATTGATCTAAATATCATTTATAATCTTATCACTTGAATCCCAAATGCAAAAATTATAAAGCAATACAAACTATCAATAGATGCTTATGATTTTCTCAATGCTAATTATGTAAATTTGATATATTCTTTTTGATTTAAAAACTAAAATTGATAGAGCCGAAATTTTTTTTATCACAAAAGATTAAATTGAATTCTGATGCCATTATACAAAATTAGCGATTTCAACTTCTTATATAATGTTTTTTCAAAAAAAAACATATTATAAAATGGAAAAGTTACTAATATTAGATTAGTATTTGTTTATATACAAATATATAATAAAATAATTTAAAATCTGTATAAAAAATTTATTTTTATTTGATAACTGTTTAATGTTCATTTATTTATTTAAATATCAAAAATTACTATATTAACATGTTGTATAAAAATGGACCCACTCGACATTATGATTCGGTAAGTTAAAAATAAATATGTTATGTCCGTACGGGATTTCCATACTTAAAATTTTTCAGTACTATCAACTTTTGTTAATACTTCATTAATAAGATGTGAATATCTAATCTTGACAATAAATGAATTTGATATACGTGTCATCGAAAAATAAGATATTTTTATATAAATTAGAGTTTTTTCAGTTTGGTTCTAAATTAATTGAAATATATTATATAGTATGTTCTATGACATAATTTTAGGTAGTTACTATCATCATTTAAATTTTAAATATCTGTACATATTTTTTAAAGATATATTTTTTGATATTTTAATCGTTATTTCTATTTTTAGTAGTCATTTAAAAAAGTAAAATTTCAATCACAAAGATTGGTAATTAACAAATAAAATTTATATGATATTGTAATTTTAATATTACTTACAATTCTTATTTGACACGTAAAATTAAAATACATTAATGTATGTATACTCATATGTAACTGAACATAATTTTTTAAACATCATATTTTAAGTGAAAATTTAAAATGAATAGTAAATTTTATGTTTAAATTTTGCATAAAATTTTCACTCTATTGTAAAAAAATATAGCATGGAAATAGCTGAACTAAAATTATTAAAATAAATTAATTTACAGTATATTTTTAAAATATGGCTGTAAATCTAAAATATAATAGAAAATAATTTTCTATATTTTATTGAAAAATATACTAGGGAATATTTCATTAATACCTTTACAATAACGTTCCTAAAAAGTGAAAAATCTGTAATGAGATTTTTTTCATAAATGATTTTGTTTTTTTGGATGAGTGGCTACTTATTCCGATTTAATATTAATTGACAAAAAGAAAGAAAACTTTTTAACCATATTTGACTACTACAGTTTTCTATATAAATAGCGTCTAAGTGGTTGATGTATTATGCATATTTGCTTTCATTTGAGTAAAACAAAAAATGGATTCTAGTCATGATAGCAGTTCAAGCGATGAACGGGAAACTTCTGTGGACACCAACGGGGATAAGAAGATTTACCATCGGCACACCAATGAGCAAATTCAACGGCTCGAAGCGTAAGATCTTAAATTAGTTTATAATGAGTGTTTTTGTTAATTAAGATCTTCTTTAATTGATAACAAATGTTTTTGTATACTAATTTTAGGTATTTCAAGGAATGTCCTCATCCAGACGATGTACAGCGACGTAAACTGGGCGAAGAGCTTAGCCTTAGACCGAAACAAATCAAATTTTGGTTTCAAAACAAAAGGACACAAGCCAAAGTAAATTTTCGTCGTATTTATTGTTTATTTTCAATATATAATATAAACCAGTTTATGATATGAAATTATTTACTCTAAATCAAACAAGTGATGCAATTTATAACTCATTATTTCGTTCGTCTAGATCTAAGTTGTGTTTTCATTAGATCCATAACTGTTTGTTTTTTCCTTACCGTAGTAGACACGGAAACTGCATATTCCAGATTGAGATTTGCCTTGAAATTTTGAATATAAAAGTACTTACTTTAGTTTTGTTTTCGTAATTTATAGGCTCAAAGTGAAAAAGCAGACAACACAGCACTTAGACAAGAGAACATAAGGATCAAATGCGAAAACGATGCAATGGCAGAGGCGATAAAGACTGTGCTTTGCCCTCCATGCGGTGGCCCTCTTTTTGGGAGAGAAGAACGTGAGCTCCGTCTCCAAAACCTGCGTGCACAGAACGCTTATCTCAAAAGAGAGGTGTGTGTTCATGCATATGTTCTTTCATAACGAAATTGGTGTTTTTTACAGTATATTGATTTTCATCAATCCATTTGATGATAGATCTATCATCAAATGGATTTTTTAAATTATAACACTAAACTAATAATTGGCTGGTATTAAATCTCATTAACAAACTATAATATAAATCTCTAATTTAATAAGAATTTTTTAAAATAAATAAATACGTAAACTATATAATATCAAGAAAATTTTCAATAAAAATGATTATTAACTTCACAGATGAATAGTTTTGCATAAATCTTTATTTTTTTTCCGTCTATGTGTTTTACATACAGTATTTATAAATTAAATCGACATAAAACTGATTAAAAACAATTATTAGGGTTTGTCTGATTAACCATTCATTTAATATACTAAACACACTAATAAATGTTCATTTCTTTAGATGATATAAAACTTAAATGGAAAGTTGGCACAAATATATTATTTAACCAAATATTAATTGTAAATGGGTACTATATAAATGTTACTATACATATATATATATATATATATATATATATATATTCTCTTTATATTTATGCTAAAATATTTTGTTTTTGAAAATAATTGATTTAGTTATTCATAACTCAGTCGATTCAAACCGTGATTCTGCGCTTATATGAAATATAATATGATTTGTTTCCTAACAAATAATGTATATATGCAATTTATTTTTCACAAAACGACCTAAGATATAAAATTACCAAATGTATAAACTATTCTCTTATGAGAAAAAGAAAAAGGAAATATTTTTTGGATAAATATTTTTTACTTAATTTTACATGTTTTATATATAGAATTTATGAATTAGATCGACATCGGATCGCTAAAGAAATCTGTTAGGATTGGTATCTATATTCACTTTGTATTTACATTTACCAATAATCATATTCTTCATTAGAAGTCGTTTATTTGTTTTACTAAACACCGATTATTTTTTTTCACTAGAAATACCAGTAAAATCACTAATATCTTTGTTGAATGTCAGCTCGAGAAGCTCGCAATTTACCGAAACCCGAACGGAGGCCCGTCAGTACCTGGCGTTGGCGTTGATTCCTTAGCTGCTCTCCCTGGTCCATCATCGCACGCACCGATCTCCGATAATCCTCAGGTCGCCTATGGAACCTCTTCGAACCAGCAAGTCGAGCCATTAAGCTTGGTACCAAGTCCATACATTGCTGAGGACATCAACATCGCCCAACCGCCTCGGCCTAGGCAACTGCAGAACTACCAGTCGCAATCTCAAATGGAAACTATGATGCTGGCTGAAATGGCGATGAATGCCGTGGCAGAGGTTACAAGGCTGATTCAGTTCGAAGAACCGATGTGGATCAAGTCGTCTATCGATGGTAGACTCGTCATTGATCAAGACAACTATGAGAAGCTGTTTACAAAGATTAACCACTTTAAGAACCCAAGTGCTCGTATTGAGTCTTCTAAGGAAGTCGTGGTGGTTCCAATGGATGCAATAAGCTTGGTCGACATGTTCTTAGATGCGGTACGTATACCTTAATAAACTGCCATATAAACTAAAATTAAAAGAAAAAAAAATTATCAATTTTGGGAAAATTTTCATTTTATAATAAATAAAATATCATAATTTGTTTTATATTTTTTTATTAACAAAAATTGTCATATTTTAATTTCCAATTCCAATATACAAAATATTGCAGGAGAAGTGGGGGATGATGTTCGCAACAATCGTGAACGAAGCTAAAACGATTCAAGTGCTGGAATCCGTGGATCCACAGAGACAAAACGTCTCGAAATTGGTATGTTTCTTACAACAGCTCTTTTAAAACTTTTAATTTATGTAAATATTTGGTGATAACTTACTGATAAATGATATAGATGTATGAGCAACTGCACATATTGTCACCATTGGTGCCACCGAGGGAGTTTATGATACTTCGAACTTGCCAGAGAGTGGAAGAAGGACTCTGGGTGATTGCTGACGTGTCGTGTCACCACATAAACTTTGAATTTGAGTTTACGACTCCGACTTGCTCCAAACGTCCCTCAGGCTTTCTCATCCAAGCCCTGCCCAATGCTCGCTCTAAGGTCCTTCTCTTCTCAATTGAATCCATTGAAACTGACGAAAACATTCAACTAGACATCTATAGTCGATACCAAAAAAGAAAATAACAAATCAAAATAGAAACACATTAGATGGTGGGAAATGGTTTCGCATGTTTTAAAAGCATAATATATTACTTGCATTTTCATTACATTTTTGAAACTAGTGAAAGTCTCATAAACCAAAATTATATGACAAGCAGGTGACGTGGATGGAGCACGTGGAAGTTAATGATAAAGTGCGGACACATCGGCTTTACAGAGACCTCTTATGCGGCGGCTTTGGCTACGGAGCTCGCCGTTGGACCGCTACTCTTCAGAGAATGTGTGAGAGGCTGTCTCTCACCTCCATCTCTGTCTTCCCCGCCACCGACCATGCCGGAGGTACTTATCAGAACAATGATGTTGACAAGTGCTAGTTACATATGATTTCATATAGTAAGCGATAATTCTTCCTCTTGTTTTTTATACAGTAGTGAAAACTATAGAAGGGAGAAGGAGCGTCATGAAGCTAGGAGAAAGAATGCTGAAGAATTTTGCATGGGCACTAAAAATGTCTGGCAAATTCGATTTTTCGCAGCTGTCTGAAACCAACAGTAGCGGAGTTAGGGTTTCGGTGAGGATAAACGAAGATCCCGGTCAGCCACTCGGTCTGATTGTCTGCGCCGGTTCATCTTTATGTCTCCCGGTATCTCCTCTCCAAATCTACCATTTCCTCAGGAATGTCGACGTTCGTCACCAGGTAAGAATAGATGGCTTGATTGCACGAGTCCATATTTATGTAGCTTTTTAAAAAAAAAAAAAAATGTCTTTATTTTGACATCGTTGTTATTTAATTTGGGTATTTAACAAGAAATCTAATTTTTGGATGTTAAAAAAAGTGGGACGTTCTCTGCCATGGTAATGATGTCTCTGAGCTCGCTCGCTTTGTCACTGGAACAAACAGTGAGAACTGTGTGAATTTCATCCAGGTATTTTACTCATACTACCTTACTTCTTTTACTGGATACAATAGTTAAAATTAATTTATACTTTATAAAGAAAGAAAAACAAAGGATCGAGTCAAATATGTTCATTTTTGTTTAACATTTTAGTAGTCATGAACCGCAAGTTGATCATCATCATCACTATAATAGATCAAATAATATATCTATATATTGGACCAATTGATTAATATATACTTCTCTTTTTTCAAAGTAATCCACACATATGTATTTTTCATGGAAGTTCATATATAATTACAATTTGATATATTTGGCATTGCGTTAACTTTGGTTCTATTGTGCTAATAATTAATGTTGGTTTATATTTAGCCTTCAACTACCACGGAGAATGGTGATATGATGATCATACAAGATGGCTTCATCGATGCATTGGGAGGTATGGTGGTGTACGCTCCAGTGGATCTGAACACAGCATATACCATCGTTTCAGGCAATACCGATCCTTCCGGCATTGCAGTCCTCCCGTCCGGTTTCATCATCTCCCGTGACGGCCGTCCTTCCGCCGCTGAGCTCGACGGTGGTCCCGAAAACTCTGCGACGATCCTCACGGTGGCTTTCCAGATCCTCGTCTGTGGTCAGGCTCTCACTGGGGATCTCCGCATGGAGGAATCCACCGCCACAGTCAATACCCTGATTAGCTCCACCATTCAAAGGATCAAAGGCATGCTTAACTGCGACGAGGGTCGTCAGTGAGAGTTTCACCCACCAGTTTCGCAAATCAACAAACTATTTGGTTTCTTTTCTTGTTTTTGAATAATGTTTTTGAGTGAGAAGACTATTCTCGGATGATTCTTTATTGAGTCATACAAACTCATTCCTTTTAATAATTTCTTTCTTGGTTTGTAATAATTTCTAAGGGTGTGCCTTAGATAAACAGTATTTCTGCTGTTGCCTTTTGGCGTATTTGTTTTTGATTTTATTGTTGTAAGACTATAAGCGGTTATTGAGCTGTTATTGCTTAATTTCAGCATTTATATATATAAAATAAAATTTATTATGATGAGTTTGATTTTTTTTTTTTTTTTCTGTTTGATTAGTTTGTTTCACTTAAGCGGTAAGTGTAACTAATTCTTATGTTTGTAACTTTGTAATAAATTTGGTTTAAACACTTAACCGAACGGTACAGCAATAACAAATTAATTATAAGAAAACCGAACTGACAAACAACATGCGGTTCTGAGTTATTGGAAATAAATTGGGACGATACAGAGAAGATTAGCATGGCCTCTGCAAGGATGACACGCACAAATTGAAAAATGATACAAAAAAAAATCAGTGAAACTTCATTATTCTGCCTAAGTATCCGAAGAGAGAGAGAAAAAAGAAAGAACAACCGAAAGAGATTTCATCTGAGAATTCGTGTTTTTACCGAGAGATATCCGAGAGTTCATCGAATCCGATAGTGAGATAGCCGGGTGATTCTGTCTATCGCCGAGAAATTTCGACTGCATCTGAGAGAAACGTTCTGAATCGGGGAGTCCTTCTGAAAACCGTCGGCTATCTTCTTGAATCTGCAACAGCCGAGAAACAAAGGTGAGTGCGCGACCGTTGTTACAGATTTAGAGTCGTTCTCTAGCATAGATTCACTTAATCATTGATTGATTAGACTGTCTTGGCTGAATACTATTATTATTCAATGTTCTGCTTGATAATAGTAAGGCTTTGTGCCGTGGTAAAGGTTTGGTGCCGTAGTAAAGGCTTTGTGCCGTAGTATAAGGCTTTGTACCGTACTAAGGCTTTGTGCCGAGGCCATGTGAGCCGGATTATAGACTGTTTGAGAATTATCGATTATATGAATGGACTGTTGGATGCGATTTCTTGATTGTGGCTAAGTGGGACGGGATGACCGCTCTCACTAAGCAATTCTGTTGCTTATGCCTCTTTTTCGTGGATGCAGGTGATTTAGCCCGTGATGGGAATTGTTCTGGACCGCGGGACTAAGGCAAGTAAGAAGGATGTTAAGCTTGGGTAGACTATGGTCGAGTAGAACAATGTAATAGCTTATAGCAAACTGTATTAGCTTATAGCGAATCTTCATTGTATGCTCGAATCTCGTTTTTACCTAAGTAATGCATTTGTGTTTAAAATGGCTTGAATGAATCAAAAGAAAACGCTGAAAATGACTAAGTATGGGAAAAACTTAAAAATATCCGAGACTGGCCAGGAAGTGGCTGAGTCAAATCCTTATCGTGGTTCAGATTTTCGAGTTAGGGCGTTTCAATTTGATATTAGAACACAAATCAAAATGTATATCTTGTGGACTAAGATTGTAAAATATGTGAAGCTTATTAAATTCATGGAAAGATTTGAAAAGCAAAACATTATATTAAATATATATATATATATATATTATATTTGTGTAAGGAAAATTTACATATTGTATGGTGTTAACAATATATTTATGTTAGTTATTATACATATATTTCATTATCTTGTATAATCAACACAAGCATGTAATAATATATTTTAGTTCTATAATTCTACACGAGGTGTGACAAAATTTCTGTTATCAATTGGCAAAGAGAAGACAACGGACATATTTTCGGTAACATCCATCGTCACCACTAACTCTTCCCCAACTCTCTACCTTACTATAAATATCTCTCCGCTTTAATTCCAAAACACTCTTCATCCTCAACCTCTCTATCTCTATCTCTCTGCGATTAATTTCTCTGGATCGGAATCTCTCATCGGAAATCAAACATGGCCGCTGCAACCGAGAAGCTCCCTCAGCTCAAATCCGCCACCGATGGACTTAGTGAGATGAGGTCTGCTCTGCCGTTTCCCTTCTCGATGATCTGCTTCTTCTTTTTTTTACCGAGAATCTGATTCTGGATCTGGCAATCTTCTTCATCGTTTAGACTCTGATCTGTTTTCCTTGTTTCAGCGACAATGAGAGGAGCGGATTCATCAACCTCGTTTCACGTTACCTGAGGTTCGTCCTTCCCTCGGATGTGTATTCCGTTAATTTGGTTAAGATCATACGGATTCTGGTCTTTTGAAACTTTTTTCGTTTACTCTTTAGACTATTCATACATTTCTGAAATGACTTTTGAATTTTTTTCCTGTTGATGTTTGTCAAATTCTCTGTTCTTGGACGTAGTTTTTATTTTTTTGAAATGATCGACTCGCATCGATCGGATCTCTGGGGTCAGATCTAGAAACTCAGATTGTTTACATGTAGACGACCGATTAGGTCTGAATTATTTGGTTTTCATTTGAATATTGAAGCGGCGAGGCTCAGCACATTGAGTGGAGTAAGATCCAGACACCTACCGATGAGATTGTTGTTCCTTACGATAAAATGGCTAACGTCTCCGAAGGTATTGAATGACACAAATCTGTAATTGAAGTTTGCTTTCCTGTGTACTAGTTTTTCTTCCTAGCGATCAAGTATTATTTTTGCTTATGTTTCAACACAATGAAGATGCTTCCGAGACCAAATATCTGTTGGACAAGCTTGTTGTGCTAAAGCTAAACGGAGGTCTGGGAACGACAATGGGGTGCACGGGTCCAAAGTAAGCTCTCTAATCTCGTGTCACTATCAGTATTCAGTACTATCTTTGTTTACCCTTCTATTTGAGATAGTAAAGTTGATGTTTACAGTTTCATGTAAATCTTCTTGACGTTACTGTTATGTTATGCGTTATCTATGCGACATTTTCTTTGTTCAAACTATAGGTTTTCCTTTCATTTTCTGTTTCTGTCCAGATCGGTTATAGAAGTTCGTGATGGTTTGACATTTCTTGACCTGATTGTTATCCAGATTGAGGTTCGTACTTTTTTCTTTTCGATTTGTTTGTTCTAATCTTAATGATTTTATGTAACATCATTAATTATCGCTTTCTCACAGAATCTCAACAACAAGTATGGCTGCAAGGTTCCCTTGGTTCTCATGAACTCATTCAATACACATGATGACACACAAAAGGTACTTTTAGTTCACCAAGGATCACATCCCTTTATCTTATGATGGTAGGCTGACATTTTTTTTGTCTCGTTCAGATTGTGGAGAAGTACACCAACTCAAATGTTGATATTCACACTTTTAATCAGGTACTTCATGTCAATGCCATTACAAGTTAAGAAACTAAAAAAATCATTTATTTGAACAATCCAGTTCAACCCTGGAACTAATATCGTTAAATTAAATTGTGTGTAGAGCAAGTATCCTCGTGTTGTTGCTGATGAGTTTGTGCCGTGGCCTAGCAAAGGAAAGACCGATAAGGATGGCTGGTATGATTTTTGTTCTGGTAGACTAGTAAACTTAAGCTGTCATTTTCATCTCTTCATTTTAGTTTCTTTTTATCATGCAAAATTTACAAAAAGTTTGCACCTGCGTCACCACATTAACTGGCAGAAGGTCAAGAATAGAAACAGACTCAATGCAACCATATAGTGAAACCATCATGGCGTTAATTTTCCTATCAATATTGCACTTGTATTTGAGATTCCATTTGCATTTGGGTCTCCTTCTGTGTTGCTATCAAATCACACCACTCATAAAAGATGACTTTGTGAAGGTATCCTCCCGGTCACGGTGATGTATTCCCATCCCTCATGAACAGTGGCAAGCTTGACATTTTCTTATCACAGGTTCTTTCTTTGGTGTAGTCTATTATCGATTTTGTCTCCAGATATCACCCTTGATGTTTGTGTCTTTCAGCGTTTGCCATTTTAATTCCAAGTATGTGTTCAGGGTAAGGAGTATGTGTTCGTTGCCAACTCAGACAACTTGGGTGCTGTCGTTGACTTAAGTATATCTTCTTCTTAGTTTCCTCTTTTATCAGAAAATATAAGATTCAATAAGAGACTAATTTTTTGCTGTCCTTGACTTCGTGCTGCTTTAGAAATCTTGAAGCACCTAATCCAGAACAAAAATGAGTATTGTATGGAGGTTACTCCCAAAACCCTTGCTGATGTAAAGGGAGGAACTCTCATCTCTTACGAAGGAAAAGTACAGGTAAATTTCTTTGATTCTGAAATCCCTCTTCTTTTTCCTTAACAACTCATGTACTTTATCTAAGCTCTTGATTAGATAATATTATGGAGATGATATATTCCGTTTCTTTGAAACTCATAATTTATGCTACAAAAGAATATAAGCAGTCTTATTGACATCTAAAATTGACTATTCTGTTGTGTATCTCAGCTTTTGGAGATTGCTCAGGTTCCTGATGAACATGTAAGTCCACACATCTTCTTTGTTTTCCTTCTTATAGTTTCTATTTAGATTTCTTCTTCTTTTTTTCTTCTTTTTTTCTTATAATACAATTTCATTTTTACTATAGCTTCCTTGAAATTCTTATAGTAGTTAGTCACTCCTAATTTGCTATCCTTCTTGTACTGGTTACAATTTTCGCTCCCATATTTGATATAAGATGTCATAAAATGTTGCTTCTGCTCTAACCATGAAAAGAAATTGCTTACCTCTAGCTATTGTGTGACTAAGAGTTACGTTGCTCCTTGTTTTTTGGTAGGTCAATGAATTCAAATCAATTGAGAAATTCAAGATTTTCAACACGAACAACCTGTAAGTAGTCTCTCTGGCCCCCAAAACACGGAAGATAACGGATTAATATAATGAGGCTTAAACTTTTTAACTTTTTATAGTTGGGTTAACTTGAAAGCCATCAAAAAGCTTGTGGAAGCTGATGCTCTTAAAATGGAGATTATCCCAAACCCGAAGGTACTAATCTTACAATCAGACCACGCTGAACATTTATTTTAATTCCAATTTTGCATGATTTGTCTTAAACTCTTGCCAGGAAGTCGATGGAGTCAAAGTTCTTCAATTGGAAACTGCAGCTGGTGCTGCCATAAGGGTATGCAAATTTCATTAATGCAACCGTTTCTTTAATGAACCGTTACTTTCTTCTAATATTTGCCCTTTGCATAAACGTTACCTACCTCCTCTTAATATTTTCCCTGTCTACAAACAGTTTTTTGATAACGCAATTGGTGTGAATGTACCTCGGTCACGGTTCTTACCAGTAAAGGCAACTTCTGATTTGCTTCTTGTTCAAGTAAGCCAAATAAACAACTCTTTTCCCCTACAAAATCCAAATATCCATCAAAGGAGCAATAGAGTGTTTAACAGTTATTAATTATCTTTCACAGTCCGATCTGTACACTCTTGTGGATGGCTTTGTGACACGAAACAAAGCTAGAACAAACCCCACAAACCCATCGATCGAATTGGGACCCGAATTCAAAAAGGTAAAATAACGTTATTATTTCCTGTATTTGGCTCTCTGGAAAGAGTATTATCACTCTAATATAATGTTACTTATATAAATTTTGTTTTCTGTGTTTTGTTTAATAAACAGGTGGCTAGCTTCCTTAGCCGGTTCAAGTCCATCCCTAGTATAGTTGAGCTCGATAGCCTTAAGGTCTCCGGTGATGTATGGTTTGGCTCCAGCATTGTTCTTAAGGGCAAAGTGACAGTGAAGGCAAACTCCGGGACTAAACTTGAAATCCCCGACAAATCCGTGGTCGAGAATAAGGTAACGTTTGTATAACACTGTGTTTTGGGCACGTTTTATCCCCATGGAGATATTTTGTGAACTGTATCACTAAGACTCAACTTCTGTTTTTTGTACTTAATTACAGGACATCAATGGTCCTGAGGATCTCTGAAGAACGTTGATGCGTCTTCTTATGTCTTCCTCTTCTTGGATATATGAAAGCATACTTTTAATGAAACTTTTTTTTTTGTTCAACACTTTTGATGAAAGGGACTAAGATCACAATAATAACGAGAAGTGATGTTTTTGTAATTTCTTTTTGCAGCTTAGCCCTCGCAAAGTACGTTTTCAGTTTTACATGCGTTTGTTCTTAATTTTGTTTTTGATGAAAAGTTTCTCGTGCCATTTTGAGCATTTTGAGAAATATGGAGTTATGTGGCCTTTGTCTTTCTCCTAGTTAATTGCTTAGTTTTGTGGACTTTCTTCTCACTGGTGATTGTCATACTTAAACTAGACAAATATGGTTTCCATTACCGGTTGGATTTTATTGCAAGATAAAATATTGTAATAGCAAAGAGTTTTAAGTAGGGATGATAGAACAAAAAAACAAATACAAAGATACTTGAACGATCCAAGTCAACCCTAGAACCAAAAAAAAAAAAAAGTCAACCCTAGAACTAATAATGTTAACTTATATTGTGTAGAGCAAGTATCCTCGTGTTGTTGCTGGTGAGTTTGTGCCGTGGCCTGACAAAAGAAAGACTGATAAGTATGGCTAATATGATTTTGCTCGGGTAGACAAGTATACTTATACTGTAATTTTCATCTTCCTTTTTCATTTTGATTCTTTTAGTCATGCAAAAGTTTCAATTTGCACTTGCGTCACCACATTAATTAGTAGAAGATCAGGAGTAGAAACAGACTCAAAACACTTTTAACTTATCATTTGATTATAGTACCAACTACTTTTTACTGGAGCAGGCTAATATTTTGTTCTCTTTGAGAATATGAATAGAGAAGAACCTAACATTTGCGACTGGGAAAGATGATAATAATCGAATTACGTGGAAACAATTATATAAGAACCATTCCACCATTTTCTAAAAAATCATCCCATTTTTTCTTTCAACCACTTATTTAACTTATGTACCATATTGTGCCACCTGTCCAAATTGTTTGGTCGAAAAAGAAAGAGAAAAACAAAAACAAAAACTCATATGATATATAAGTAATTCGGTTGGTCCTGAAATAGTTTCACCGGTCTGGCTTGTGTATCGAACACCACACATCTTTTGAGTCTCTTTTATCTTTGTTAGAACATTCACACTGATTATTACAAAGTCAGCGAGACCTTTATCTCAAAAGAATATCTGATTCTTCCTTTTATCCCGTTTAGCTATAAACCGGCAAAAAAAAGATGTTGGCGAGTAAATATGAACCACATAATTAAGATCGTAGAAGCTTATAGAAATGGACCCACCCACCAATTTCTTCTCTTTACTAAAATGGTCGATCCGTGAATGGACCCACCCACCAATTTTCTACTAGTGCTAAAAATCGCCGAATATACAATTAATATCAATTTGACCAAAATAAATTTCATTTAGTAAAACAACAGTATTTGTTGTGGTTATTTTACAAATTACCAACATTTAAAATTTTTACAAAAATGATACTTACCAAAAATACATGTTAAAACGATATCGCAAAAAAAATAAATGTGTATGGTGTGGTAAGGAAAAAGAAAAAATCACAATGTTGTCACACGTGACTTCACGCTATCCCAGTAGACCAGTGCCTAATTTCCAGCAGCACCAAGCCTAACCTTCTTCGCTAGTCAGAAACTCCACAAAGGACTTGTCTTTTAACTCTGCCTTTCCACTCATCCTAACTCGTCTGAACTTTTAGCTTTAATGGTCATTTTTGACAAAGCAGTTTTTTAGTTTTCTTATAGTTGCTTACCATCTTTGAACATTTTGAGAAATATCATTCTCTAATTGCTTAATCTTGTGGACTTTGTTCTCACTGATGATTGGCATTCGTCATACTTACTCATACATACTAGATAAATATGGTTTCCACTACAGGTTGGATTTTAAAGAAACGAAAATATTTTAAATAGACAGCCCCACACCAACCACTTTCTCCTCGTTGAAACCCTAAGTGCTAAGGCACAACTAGAAGAAAAATATGTGGCTGAGAAATTATGTGTAATATCAATAAATCTGTGAACGTTAATAAATTAAGTAAGAAAAGAAAAAGAAACGAGTGGCCTAGAACCCTCCTTTGTTCGTTCCACGTGTCCATTTTCTGTAGAACAGACGGCTGAATCAGTGACATGGAGAAAAGTGCACTCAAATATATCTATATGTTTAATTAAAGTGTAAATAACTTTTCACTTCCACCCGGAATGATTAACAATTAATAAATTGTTCTTTATCATATATGCTTAACAATGATTTAATAAATTATCTTACACATATTTAAGAAGATTGATTACGACCTGGACAATGGATAAACATATTAATACGAAAGGGTTGAAAATAATTATAAGTACCATGGATAATATCTGTCTATATTATAAATACATATTTTTTTTTTGTTAAAGGCCATTATTAAAGAAATGATATATGCTGTGTATCTATCTAGGCTTTCGTAATGGAGCGACCCACACCAGTTATTTTTTTAGAGACAGAAGATATTTAATTTAATTTAATATTTTCGTTTTCTCAGTAAATCCAGTACAAAGATAAACGAACAAAAAAAACAAATATCTCATTTTATTTATCTAGTATATAATTTGTTTATAGATTAATGCTTTGTACATATGTTCTCGTTTTTTGACTAGAAGAGATCAAACTAAGTACAATACTAACAAAATTTTAACCAATAGTAGTAAATAATCTTTTGATAAGCATCCTAAAATAGTAGTAAATAATCTTTTGATAAGCATCCTAAATCGTAGGGTTTGTTGTTAGGTGACAATTTTGATAACTTGTGTGCTATCTTTGTTTTGCTCAAGAAGATATATAATATCGGTCCAAAAAAGTCTTGAAGTGGAAACCAACGAATATGACGAAGGTAGATAATAATAGCGAGTTGACTCAATATATCTTACTCTCGCGCGTAGGCCTTCTATTTCATTTCTCTATGTATCTACTGGTGTGGCTCACATTTCTCCGTCCAGCAAAATCTATTTTTTCTTCTTTTTTTGCTTACATAATTTTTTCCGATATTTCCCACTAATCTACAAAATCAAACTCGTTACCAAATCTATTATTTTCTAAATAGCTAAATTTATTTAAAAATGATTATATATTTTAGAAACAGAGATAAATCTACTCTTACAAACACATGTATAAAAAGGTTAATTGAAAATTTTAGTTCAAAAAAAAACACACACACATGTAAAAGGGAAAGTGACTGCGCAAAACGAGCGACACGTGTCGATGGGGGTCTTTGAACGTGAGCCACAAGATTTCATCTGTTTCTCGAGCGTTCCATGGGAAACCAATAATATATTGGATAAAATAAAGAAAAAATGAAAAATGAAAAATGAAAATGAAAAAGCGCACATACCAGATGCTGACGTGGCACCCCCTCCTATGTCTTCCTATTTTCTCACCCCAATCCTTTCCTCCACAGACCCCAAACACTTTTCTCTCTCTCTCTCTCTCTCTTTCTCTCTGCTTTCTTCATTTGCTCCTTTCTTCTTCCGGCCATTCAGGACCGTCAAGTCTTGTTTTTTACTCCGGCAAGCATAGTTTTCAGACAGTCTCATCTCTGAGAGTTCCATTTCCGACGTCCTTCTTATTTTGTTTTCTCGTTACACCTTCTTCAAGTTTTCAGTTTTCCTTTTATCAATCCCGAAAAGTCTCCGGTTTGCTGGAAATTTTCCGGGAGGTGGAAGGTTATAGATTGTTCCTGATTTCATAGGCAAAAATCGTTTGTGGGTGTCTAACTGGAGCAGATATGAACCGAATCAGTTTCTGGGATCTATAGAAACGGCCGGAGAACAGAGTTGAGCTGATTCCAACTCCAGATTCGCAAATTTAACGTTTTTCGGGTTGCTTTTCCTTTTCTGCGTCGAGTTTTTGGTTTTCCTCCGGCGAGATCTTAATCCGCGAAGCTATGGCCTCATCTCCGTTGACTGCGAATGTTCAGGTCTGGACTCAAATCTTGCTGTATTTTTAGTCTTTAGCCACATTTAGTTTCTGCTTATTCAGATTAGCTAATGAATCTATGAGCTTAGAATAGTTTATACGATAATACAAACATAGAAAGCTTCAGACTATTGTTGTTGTTTATAACTTCAAATGAGAGTTTTCCTTTTTTGGTTGGCGACTTGTTGTTGTTGCTGATAACTTCAAATTGATGGGTGAACTACAAGCGAACTGTATTTGTGTAAATGTAATTGGGATCTTTGAATACAATTGAAAACGTTGGATTTTGAGAATGAATGTACATTGAGCAAGTGAAGAAGAAAAAGTAATTGATACAATGCCACTTTGTTATAGTACATAAAATAGCATATATTTTTGTGAGAAGATAAGATGATCTTTTCTAAAGCCTTTTGTCTTTGGTGATTGTTTCAGGGCAACAAAGCTCCTTCGAGGAATAGAGTTGAAGAAACTGCCGACAAGCAGATACAATTCAGTGAACAAGTCTTTGAGGGAAATGACTATGCACCCAAGGTTTTACTTCTTTAACATCAAATGTCACATATTGTTTCTGTAAAGCCAAGATCTTTGGCTCATATTCATCTTTCATTTATTAGGTACGGAAACCATACACGATAACAAAAGAAAGAGAGAGATGGACAGATGAAGAGCACAAGAAGTTTGTGGAAGCCTTGAAACTATACGGACGAGCATGGAGACGAATCGAAGGTATAAAGAATGAATCATCTGATACTTTCACTTGCTACTGAGTTATGTATACAAAACCTGAACCATCAAAAATACCTTTGTTTCACTAACAGAACATGTGGGAACAAAGACTGCTGTTCAGATTCGAAGCCATGCTCAGAAGTTTTTCTCTAAGGTCTAATACATTTATACAATATCTGTACCCTTGTTCACAGAAAGCACCAAGGGATCATTGTTACATACATATGATTGGAGAATTGTGTTCTGACCTAGCTCTGTTCTGTTATCACACAGGTTGCTAGAGAAGCAACTGGTGGTAATGGGAGCTCGCTGGAGCCGATTGTGATTCCGCCTCCTCGTCCCAAGAGAAAACCAATGCATCCTTACCCACGCAAGTTTGGGAACGAGGCAGATCAGACAAGTAGATCGGTTTCTCCCTCAGAACGAGACAACCGATCTCCAACCTCTGTGTTGTCCACTGTTGGATCAGAAGCCTTGGGTTCGTCTGATTCACATTCACCCGATCGAAGCTTGTCTCCGGTTTCTTCTGCATCACCTCCATCTGCTCTTACAACTACTGCAGATGCACCTGAAGAGCTTGAGACTCTGGTACTTTGACAAACATAAAACCCCATCTTATATTCATTCGATTTAACAACAGAAGCTAGAGGCATAATATCTAACGTCATTTGTTTGATCAACTTGTACAGAAGCTGGAGTTGTTTCCAAGAGAGAGACACTTAAACAGAGAGAGCTTGATCAAGGAACCAGCAAAGCAAAGCCTTAAACTCTTTGGGAAGACAGTTTTGGTATCTGATTCAGGCGTGTCCTCTTCTCTAGTAACTTCAGCAACTTACTGTCAATCCCCAATTCAGCCATTACCACGGAAACTCCCATTGATAATAAACCCGAAAGAAGAACTCTTGAGTTGTTGGATACAAGTCCCTCCTAAGCAAGAAGAAGAAGTCGAGAATAGATGTTTGGATTCTGGCAAGGCTCTTCAAAATGAAGGATCATCGACTGGATCAAACACTGGCTCGGTGGATGATACAGGAAACACGGACAAGAACTCAGAACCGGGAACAACGGTATGTCATTGGGAGTTTAAACCTAGCGAGAGGTCTGCATTTTCTGAGCTCAGAAGAACAAATTCTGATTCAAATTCAAGAGGATTTGGTCCGTACAAGAAGAGAAAGATAGTCATAGAAGAAGAAGAACAAGAACAACAGGAGATTCGCCTGTACTTATAATATACATTTTCTCAGGTTCCTGATAAAAGTCCATAAATTTACTATTCATTCGACTTCTAAATGTTCATCAAAGTGTTCCTTTTGTTGTTGTTTTCTTCGAGCTGTTTGTTGTTTAGGTTAGGCTCCTACAAAATTTGTAACTGTAGAACTCTCTCTTGTACAACAATTCTTTCTAAAATTAATCTAGTGATTATGAGATCTTTGTTGAAAAAAGAAGTTCGTTTTCAAGTAATTTCAGGATTCTCTTCATTATCTCCGATTGGTTTGGTGAAGAGATTCTTTCAGATTGAAGGCAAAGGCGAAATTGGTGAGGTTACCACTTACCAACAACTGAAAGAAATAGAACAACAACACAGTAGCTTATTGATAGTGGTACTCAAACGAATAACCGAACCGATTTAAAAACCAAACCAATTCCAAACTCAAATAAAAACCCAACCAAACCAGATCCGGTTTCTACTTTGATTGAAAAAGTCGAGCAACAAATGATCCAACCCAAAATTGAACACGTTGTTGAAGCTGGTTGTATCCGGTCCAGGTTGGCTTTGGTTTTGATTAATCCCAATTCTTTTTGCTCCCAAGCTGGACCATCTGAGGATACTTACCAAACCAGACAAAACCGATTGAACATAAATCCATCTCGGACTTGGCTCGGATCACGTTAGCAAACACCAATGGCACTGTTCTAAAAGTACGCCCAATACCACGTAAGCAGTGTGTATACGCAAGAGAAGTGACGTCACAAGAAAGAAGCAGCGTCGTTTTGTGAAGCGGAGGTATTTTCCAAGTCTGAAGCCGGTGACGGAAGCGTAGGAGAGAAGAGAATGGCGAATGAAGCGGTCAAGTTTGTATGGGAAGGAGCAATTCCTCTGCAGATTCATCTCCATAAATCCGAAGTTGCTTCTCACCCTGCTCCTCCTCCTGCTCTTGTAATTCACTCTTCTTCTCGAAACCAGAGCTTCCTTTCTTCAATTTTCGTTTTGAGTGATTTTTTTTTTCCCAATCGGTGAAGCCTCTGGTGTTTGGTTTTGGATCATGATCGATTTCGGGTTTGAGGGTTTTTGTATCGTGTTTGGCTTTGTATCATTCCGATTTTGATTATCAATTTGTTCGAGTGCATGAAAACGAGGAAGAATTGAACTGTTGCATTTGGGGTTTGGATTTTGAGGGACGGAATCGTGTAACAGTAATGTTAAACTCGAGATAAGAGCACACTTCTGTTTGGGAATATCTGAATTTGCTCTGTTTTTTTGGTTTATCACTCGCATTCTCTCAGGTGTTAGCACCAAGAATAGGATATTTGCCTCTATTAGTTCCTCTTATAAAGCCTTATTTCAAGGATTCACTTCCTCCTGGGGAAGATTCCATCTGGTTTGATTACAAAGGATTTCCTCTGAAATGGTACGCCATCGTTCATCTGTTAGTATATAATGTGAATAAACTGTTCTTTCTTCTGTGGTATGTTTTACCTGAGAGTTTGTTCATCTTTTTTTTGGTTTGCAGGTATATACCAACAGGCGTTCTCTTCGATCTCCTGTGCGCAGAACCAGAAAGACCTTGGAATCTCACGGTAGTGGATGTATTTAGCTGGAAATTGAACACTGAACAAGAATGCAGAAGACTTATTCTCTTTTATCTTTGCAGTTCTTGAATTTTTCAGACACTTTTAAATTTGCAGATACACTTTAGGGGATATCCCAGCAACATACTGATACCATGTGAAGGAGAAGATTCTGTAAAGTGGAACTTTGTTAATTCTTTGAAAGAGGTTAGTGAAGATTTCTCCAAAGTTTTGTCATTTTAAGTGGAACGTCTACGCTTCAGATTAATTCCCAAAGAATTACTGCATACTGTTCCATTGGATTTCATATGGTACAACAGTGAATGATCTGTTACCTTCACAAGTATTGCTCTTTGCTACAAGTGTCTGGTTTTGTCTCTATGTTAAGTTCCAAGAGTTATGAATTTTTTTGTTGACTGTGTTGGTATAGCTGTTAACAACCGCGAGTGGCATTGTTACATATTTTTTAGTATTTGCTGCAATTAATTTCTTTCTTTCCCTAATGGAATAAGACATATGCTTCTCCTGAGTGCTATATTAACAAATCTCTACTCCTGCTCTTTTGTGAGACTTAACTGTAATTGGTTAGAATTGTTTGACATGTCTAATATAACGTAATACCGCAGGCAGCATATATCATCAATGGAAATTGCAAGAATGTTATGAATATGTCTCAGAGTGATCAAGAGGATCTGTGGACCTCTGTCATGAACGGTACGAGTGGTAGATGTTAGCCTGTTAGGCGTAGAGTATAACATTAATCGCAAATCATGTATCATTCTTGTTACAGCAGTACTTCTGGTTCTAACTCTAATCTCCACTAGATGTAGCTTTTGCGTTCGGTATATCAAATATCCATGACTGAGTTAGTTTCGAGTCTGACAACTGATGGTTTGGCAGGTGATCTTGATGCCTACACAAGATTATCACCCAAGCTTAAAATGGGAACTATCGAAGATGAGTTTTCAAGAAAATTAAGTTTGTCATCATCTCCACAACCTCGACAAGGTGGCGCTGAGGTGGATGTGGCTGGACAAGTTAAGACAGGTTTGCCAACTATATACTTAGCTACAAAATTTATATACCAAATTTTCTCACATTCGGTAAGCGGTTTCACAAGATGTTTAAAATTAAATTCGAAGTGACATATTTTTGTGTGCAAAGGACCGAGTTAGAAACACTTGTAGTAGTGTCCTGATTTTCTCTGGTGCAACCACCATTTTGTTCCGACTGTTGATAATCCTTTTTTCTCAGCAAGGATTCCTGTTCGGCTGTATGTTCGAAGTGTAAATAAAAATTTCGAGAATCTTGAAGATGTACCTGAGATCGATACATGGGATGAGATCTCGTACCTGAATCGCCCTGTTGAGTTCCTCAGAGAAGAAGGTAGTAGTTTCATCTTAAAGACCCGCCGCATTGTTCTTATTATCTTCATGGGAAATGCTTAGTATCTTAATTACCAGGGAAATGCTTTTCTTTACGCGACGCCATTGAAAGTCTCCTCCCGGAGTACATTGGAGACAGAGCTCAAACGAGTGGAGAAGAGGGAACCGTGGATGCATCAGAAGAAACAGATGGCTCGCCGGAGACAGGTGAAATCAAACTGGTTAGGATCCAAGGGATTGAGATGAAACTGGAGATACCGTTTTCATGGGTAGTAAATAACTTGATGAACCCAGAGTTCTATCTCCATATCTCTGTTCTTGTGAAGGCTCCTCAAAGATAAAGTAAAGGTTTTCTGCAGCTACAATCTCGATCAAATTGACTTTCTCGTTTGTTCTTAGAAGCCAGAAGAATCAACGATTTGTTACTCAGATATACAGAAAATGAAATAGAAAGATTAGTCATTTACGTTTGTTACATACGGTTCTCTCTCTCTCTCTCTGTGGGCATTTTTCTTTTAAAATTTGATTGAATCATTCTGTTGTTGGAAACAATAATCAGTACGTAGATTAGTGATGACAAGGATTCAAAACTGTTTCTTCAACTTCTCTAAATCAACACATACAGTTTACACAAGAAATACAATTGTTTAGAATTTTTCCAGCAACGAATCTGTGACAAACACAACAAGCATTCACGAAAAAATAAATCAGAAGAAGCGATTTCATTCAATTGGATTTAGTTTCTCCAGGAATGGAACTAGAAAGCTTGTTGTATTCTTCGAGCTCATCGTAATACACATCCCAAACGCACCGGACGCAGCCGCTACCGCAACAATCGCCAGGCTCTGGTTTCTCCGGCGGCGGAGGGAGCGAGACCTCCTCCTTCTTATCCTCCTCCTTCTTAACCTCCTCTACCTTAACTGTCTCCTCCGTCGATGATTTCGCGAGATCCTCGCTCTTGGTCGCCATGGTGATCGGCGACTTGGGATGTTGTTGTCGAGATCGGGAAGTGACCGAATAGTAGGCCAAGGATCGTTTCGGAGGGAGATGATCTCGCGCTAATCCAAATCTCATGCAGCAAAGCACATCGTGAAAGCTTTTCCGGAGATGATTGTAATCCGGCGATATGGCGATCGAGATTCGAGGATGCAACAGAACCATACGAACAGATGAAATTTTTTGCCTCTCTTTTCAACTTTTTTTTAGTGCGATTTCGTGTCAGAATTGATTTCTCTTTTGGTGATGGGTATGACACGTGTCATGCTATTATTGTTGGAAAAGAAGCCAATCAGCGACCAAAAATCAGTATTAAAAAGCTAAAACGGCACACATTTTTATCATCCAACTATAAAAAACGGCACGATCGATTTTCATCATGAAGAGTTTCTAGATTTTGAAGAGCTTCTTCCCGCAATTAAGAAGTTAATTAAGAATTATTATGTTATGATCTCAACAACAAAAATGATAAATGTTACACAACAGTCAGACACCAGAGACTAATCTAAGATGAAGAAGGCTGTGACAAGTCTCTTCTTCTTTCATGTTTTTGTGTTTATAGTCTCTTCACTCTTCTGCATAACACTTCTCACCTCCTCAATGCAACTCTCAAGCTCCATCAATTCTTCACTCTCTGAGAAGCTTACTGTGGCCTACACATACACATTATGCCCCCATTTTATTAATTCTGATCATAAAGCTTTAGCAAGTAACGCGGAGATAGATTAATTAAATGAGAAGTTTGGTTTTTTACTTGTTTGATTGTGTTCTTCAAATGCATCTCAGCACTAAAAAGCTCTCGTCTGCTTCCTGTGGACACTGAGATCTCCATGTAGACTTTGCACAGTTCCAGTGATGCTCTTGCAAACTTGTTGAAACGCTCTTTGTCTTTCCACAGTTCTGATCCCTGCGAGATAGATATCAGTATGTCAATCAAATGGAACTGAGATTGCTGCTCATATATCAAAGAGCGGCTTCGTTGAAGAATCATGACTCATTAATACCTGATAAGATCGCACTTGTTTCAACAGTGCCTCACTGCATACCATAAGATCTCCTTTGATTCTACTCCATCTTGCATATAATCCCCAGATTTCAGATGTACTTTCTGTTCGGACAATCTACAAAAGAGATTATCACAAGCAATTATCACATAAAGAACTATTATAATTAAATGCATCTGAGAATGAGACGACACAGAGATGAGTTATTGAAATGTTTTGTGCTAACCTGCTGAATAATTTTCCCAAGCAACTCTAAGTGGCGTTGAGTTTCAGCTGGTGTTGCAGCACACGGTTTTGTTGCTGTTGATTCATCTGAAGAAGCTTCAGTTTCAACATACGAAGATGATGATGAATTCCTATTTTCTAACTCTGTCATCATACGGTCCAATAAAACAACATCGACCCTCTTGTTTTTGGTCATTTTCAGTATTTGTTGTATAGCTTCAAAGGCCTGAATGGAAAAAAAAGGCACAGATGAAACCAATTCGTAGAGAAAATCAAACGGATATCCGGAGAAATATTAGCTAAATTATCTTATACGAGGGCCAAATTTTTGAATCTTAAAAGTAATTCAGCTTGCATCTACCTGCTCAATGTTTCCCACATCCATAGCTACATGGCTGAAATTCTCCCACATCTGCCAGCTATCTCGCCTGTTGATGCACCATGTTTTTTATATTATTAACGCAATGAATGTCTTTGAACTCAAAGTTACAAATGGTAAGGGAAAGAGAGATACTTGTATTTAAGCGCTTCTTTGAAAGCGATGAATGATTCTTTGCTCTTCTTCTTAATCATATGCCTGCACCCATAAATTATTACGCATTCAGCACCATCCATAGTAAATGTGAAAGTGAAAGAAAGGTGAGCAGTGAGTCGTGGAGTTAAAATAGTAAAGCATGATGAAACTGTGAAACTGAAGTGCTTACAGACAAGCAATGTTGTTCCAGGCCTCTCCATTTTCAGGATCAAGTTGGACAGCAAAAGTGAACGCATCGAGAGCTTTCTGAACATCTCTGGCCTATAGTTATTGTAAGAGATGTTAAAATTAGTATCCCTCTAAGCCAACATGACAAATATTTCTAATGGCATTTGGAATGGATACATATTGCTACTGAACTATTGGAGAAGATGGAGTTTGATGATACCTTCAACGCAGCAGAACCAAGAGCAAACCAACCATCCGGGTAAAGAGAATTCAAGGCCATTGCAGCCTCCCTAAAGTAGGCGAAAAGATGAGACATTTCACAAGTAAATCAGCCTGAAGAGCTAGTTTCATAAATATGTAGGTAAATAAAAACAGAACCAAATTGTTCAACATACCACAGCATCTTTGACTTCTCAAAATCACCGCGATTGTATGCGCTGCGAGCAAGAGCACGCTACAAGATGGGGAGATAATTAGAGCGTGGACTGTGAGAGGACATATAAGTTTTTTTCTATTATGTGTCTTAAACTACCTTAGCACGAACTGACTTATCGTTTGAGACTTCCAGGGCTTTTTCATAACAGGAATCATCAATCGTAACATCACCAAGTGAACACCTGGAATCAATATCAAAGAAAGAAAATGATTTAAGTGTACGGCACATCACAGCCATTTAATAAGATATATAAACAACATGAAGAGAGCAGACTAAGGATATACTATCAAAGATTCAAATACCATAAACTTGGGTCATTAGGCCGTTCAGAAAGCTGCGCATTGATGAGATCTACAGCTGCTGATTTCTTTCCCAGAAGGCTGAAATTTTCACATTCCATAATAAGCCTCGTGAAAAACATAAAAGCCATAAAGGGGAAGTGAAAAAAAAAAGTAAAGCTGAATTCATCACAAAAAAAAAATTAGTGTACCTGTAGCAGTAAATTAGATTATCCCACAACTCCAGGCTCTCAAATATTGTGATTGCTTCCCCAAATAAACCGCAACTCACCAGAAGCTCACCGTATTCCCTGTTGTTAAAATCAAAACGGACCAATGAGTAAAGAAAGACAGAAAGAAACCCAAAAAAGATTTATATACACGCACACAAAGAAAGTAACTTACTTTCTCAAAGCAGGAATGGTAGGAAGATGGACTGCATAAGATAAAGGAATCCTTTTTAATGCTCCAGGATCGCTCTTGTTAAATGCTCCAACCTGATAAAGGACGGAATAAAATAACGCTACAAAAATGAGTGTTCCAAAAAAATACAATGCAAAATGAAAACCAAACTAATTTGACAATACGAGCGCTGTGCACAGTGCACACATACCAATTTATCCATCATCTCCAGAGCGCGTCCCTTTGTACGACTCCGACTTGATTCCCATCGAACACGTAATAAGTCACAGAAACACCGTAGCTGATAGCATGTCCGAGGAACAAAAGTCAGTCAGTTTGTTTCACTTAAATAGGTTGTGGCGAAATGAAGAACCAATAACTCCATTCATCAACACTAAAAAACTAGTGACATTGTAAGAATTGAATAACTGAAAAGATGGTAGCTTACAGCAAAATATGTTGACTTTTGAGAATCAATTGCCTCAATATATGGAGCCATGGCCCATCCTGCAGGAAGAAAGTATTAAAATACATAATTAAAACTAAAAGACAAAGTTTAATTCAGTTCAGAACAAGTGAGCATAACTAGTCGACACAAAAGTATGAGCACACATCTTCTCCTTAACGATCATATTTGGCAACGGCGTAAGGAGACTCTTCAAGCATTTGAATTACAGTCACAACTAATGCCTGGTAACTTAATTTACTAGGCAGAATACCTAATATTCTTCTCTTCTCTACGTCTTTGAATCAAATCTCTCTACAGAACACTTAACATGAAACGTTTCAAATACAGTTGAATTTGGGTTTACTTACTTTGCATCTCATCGTGGCGACTACCCTTTTCAATTAGAAGGCACTGAGCCAAAATCATTGCCTGTTCAACTGGTTTTAAGCTCGTAGAATCTTTGCCAGCTTCACTCTCATCGCTCACAAGTTTGGGAGTCATATATACTTCAGGTGCTTCACCTCCCCAAGCTTCATAAGGTCCAACATCAGCTTTTTCAGAGGCCAACGTCACGTCCCCATTGGATGAGCTAGTATTGGCTATCAATACCATCTGTGACTTTGGGTCTACCTATAACAATATCAGAGGTATTCAGAATAACAAAGTCGTATACATACATATAGCAAATAAAAACAAACAAAAAAAATCTCATAGCTTACTTGGTGAATAGTACGAAATCCAAGAGCCCCAGTAACAGAAAACTCGAGCTTTGATGCTGCTTTGGCAGATTCAAGCTGTAACCTGACAATTTCACTCCGAGTCATGACCAATATACTAAAGCAGTAAAGTAGATTTAAATATGTCACAAAATATTGTAATGTCTATCAGAAATTAGAGCAGCAACCACTATATATATACAAACTCAATTTTCTAACTACATATTTCAGCGATGTCAAAAACCCTTCATTATTTTTTCAAAACGAAAACTAAGTATTTTGGTTATTATCCTGCTATATATATACATGTAAGAAGTAGGCAAGAACAATTCTGTCACAATGATAACTTACAGACAGGGATCAATCCATCCATAAATGTATTGCAGAACACATGCTTCCAGATGGATGGTTGACGTTATGGATGAGACTTCGTCTTGTAGCAACTTGGCAGCCCAATAGCTTTCAACTTTTTCCAAAGCTCCAAAATGGTTTAGAGCTTCAGCCATGTAAACTTGCAACATATCAAACAGGGACGACGATCGCTCGTGCAGGACTCTTTGGTGAATAAGTAAGACTCTGACAAGCCACCATGAGACACTCTTTACTTCAAATGTTTCAGTTGCAGTCGTCTCAAAGAGCAAATCTTTCAGCTTTAACAGCAGCATTCTAGCAAACACTAAGTGCTGCGGGAAAAGAAACTAGGCTTAAGTGGAGTTTCACTTACAAACACGCAAAGAAGCAACAAGTGTGTCTAAAATCACAACTTCCTATAAAAAAAACAATAAAGCGCGAATATGGTACCTGGAGATTAGAAAACTTCCCGAGCAAATCAGAGCCTGCAGACATGAGCTGAATCTTTGCCCAGTTCTCCCATTCAACTAATTCTTTACTTTCTGATACTTTAAACGGCAACGAACATTTTGTTGATTGATCTGTCGGCCTAAGAGTTGCAAAAAAGACAAAACAAAAGGCTCACTGAAGTTTTGCAATAACCCCGAAAAAAACTCAATTCTTAGATAATTTAGTGGGAAAAGGAAATACAAATTTCTCTAGACTTTTGATGTAACTTACCCAGTCAAATTGCAACGAGTGAACCAAAAGGCAGACGCGATTGCTAAGCACATCACCAGAACAGCACGGCGAGCCTTGTCGATTTCATCAGACGAACCGTTCACCACGAACGATTCGACCTTGTCGAGAAACTCGGAGTAAACTCGTTCGGCAGAATCAACCGAGTCGACCAGGTCCAACTCTGAATCTCCGAGAACTAGCCTAGTAGCATCGGATTCTAGAGCTCCAAGATAGTCTCCAGCCTCGATTGAAGACAGGAGGGACCTTATAAGACAATCGTGTGGATGGGCTCCGGATTGGGGTTCATCAAGCGGATGTGTTTCTGGAGGAGAATCTGAAGAGGGTAAAGACACTGTGCACCGGAGGAGACGGAGCTCGTAACCGCGTAGGATTCCGATTTCGCCGTCGACCATGGTTGCAGTGTTCTGGAGAAGAGTTGGAATGAAGGAGGGAAGGAAAAAAAGGTTTTGTGGGGTTTTTGTGAGAATTTAGGGGGAGGTATTCAATTAAGGAATTTAATTGAATTAGAAGGAATTAGGTTTTCTATTACATTTTATTGTTATTCAATATTGTATTTTACAAATTCTTTTAAATTCATATGTTATTGGATTCAATATTTGAAATCATTTTTTTAAATTACTTTAAATTTTAGTATTATTTAATGTCGTGATTTTCTAATTCTATTAATTGTTGGTGTTATTCAATTTTAATATTCTTCTTATGCTATTGTCATTTTAAAGGAATTTAATAGAATTACAATGAAATTTTGTAAAGAACCAATTCTTACCATTTTTTCTGTTATTTTGATAGAATTGATTTAAATTCTCAACAAAAACTTTAAATTATTTCAAAATCAATTATTTTCTAATTCTTTTATATTCTCTTAAAATCAATCATTCAATATCCCATCTTAGTAATGTGGCAGTAACGACGGCGTTTCAAGGTGAGACCTGTTGAACCGGCAAAACCTATAAAAACCCCTTAGAAACGATTTTTTTTATAATAAAGTAAGTTTCCAGTTTCTATTATGTTAATTTACAAAAAAAATATAGGAAATAAGCGTCATTTTTTTGTAAATTAACATAATGGAAACTAGAAACTTACTTTATTGTCAAAAAAAAATCTTGATTGACAAGATGTTCTTCTGTTTCCATTTTTAAAAAATCTAAATTGAACCGATTAAACTAAGTTTAACATTGTTTTTTTTGTGCCCAAACCAAGTTTAACATATTCTCCCAATTTTTTAATTGTAATTGTTGTAGAATATATAGACTCATATATATGTTACATCATCATTTGTCACTGGATATGATCAATGATATTTGACAATGATGTAAACAAAAGAAAAAAGCTACAAAGCTTATATCTACTCACCATGTATGTTCGTATGAATTTAACTAGGTTACTATGAACAAATGACTGGTTTTGTGTTATCTTATTTTTTTTGGTTCCTAAATGAATTTCTTTTTGGTAACTATTTTCAAATAATTCATCATCTCAACTTGAGAATTTAACATACATGAATATGTATGTGTGTATATATACTACGAGTAGTAGAACATTTAGGAGTAATATAGTTAATTTAAAGATGTGTGTGAAAGGGAGAAATGAATAAGTAAAGAACAAAAAGATGGATTCATGTGAGGGAAAAGTGTAAAGAAGGGTATGTACAATTTGTTATATATGTGTGTTATATGCTAATAGATGTCTCTATATATAAAAAAATAATTAATTGGGTATAGATCTAGAATATGGAATTTGAATAATGACAGAAAAGTTGATGATGATGATGAGAAAAGCTGAGAAGTGATGCTGGGGTTGGCCCATCAATGCCTCCAAGGATTTCTTCACATGATCACAAGTTGGACCCACATGATCTACCATGTGGACCCTCTGCTTGTTCGTCCCTTTTACCTTGCAAAGTTTATATACGGTGTTGTAAATTAATATCCAAAATCTTATGAACATATTATATTCGTGTGTCACATTCTTGTTTGGTGTGATCCTGGACAGTTAAACGATAATCGTATAGTTGTGGGCAGAATGACAAAAATAAGTTATAACATGTGTAGTTAACAAAAACTAGAAAATACGCAAACAGAACGTGTGACAATCACAATATCACAAATATAAAACCAACAAAATGGTTGAAAATATGAACAATATAACGGCGAATGCGTTGTAACTTGTAAGTGTAAACCAATGACAGAAACATTATCACATGATTGATGGTATGGCGAGTCAATGAGGATGGCAAACTTTCTCTGGAGGTAGGGGATTTCTACTTTTATTTATTAGCATGGCCAAACTAGACACTAATTAATGACCAATGTAATAATGATCATACTACAACTAGATACGAGATCAAAGCTAAATTAACAAAAAAAGAAGAAGCTAAATTGTGATTGGTTTAATATACTTGTGCACATGTATGGATTAATAATGCAAGGTGTACTCTATACAACGAGCATAAATAAAGGAAATAAGTGAGACAATATTATTTTCAGTTGATTAAAAAAACGAAACATGTTATTAATTGATCCACTGGTTTTGGAGATCACTTTAGGTTTATATTAACTACTGGAATGGAGATGGTATTGATCGGCGACAATCGCGAAGTAACTAAAGGATTCGCAAGTGGAGATACAAAGGAGACAGTTTATTTCAGTTGAAGCGCCGCCAAAATAAAAGTCTGAACCAGTTTCCTATTGGTTAACCCAAGATTCGTTTCCCCATGCAGCCAATGATTTCCTGCCACATGGACATTCCAAACCAACCACACATGGAGAAGGATGGAATACTTTAAGAGACCACTTTGATGAAGAAATACGGTTTTTGCATTATGGTACCAACTTGATTAGTAATGTCCGTTTTAATTATTTATTAGTTCATCTATGTATAGTTTATAAACTTTTGTCATTTTTTCGTTACGTTTTTCATGGTTTTGTTTCCACATGCATTGTATATAAAACCCACGCGTATTTAACATTTAAACAAAACAAACAAACTTTTGTCAATTTTTCTTTTAAATATTATCATTGTTACAAAGTTAAAATCAAAATTCGATAACTATATATTTGAAACTTACTGGAACCCCAAAACCATGGAACATTGGAAAATAAGTTAAAAATGCACAAAATGTATAATGATTCGTTTTGTAAAAACTTTCATTCGCAACTTAATTTACTTATGCAAATACTATATATGAACCTCGAATGTGCATTAATAACAAGAGCTTTTTACAAAACGTTCTAAAAAAAATAAAAATAAAGAGCTTCTTGATTTGTCTATCAAACTTGAAGAGAACGATGGTAGGAATCAGAATATGTGTAAGATAAAACAAAAAGAGAATGAAAAAGACGGGACCAATTGGTTTAACCATTTTTAATATAATTTTATATTGCTAGTTCCATTTCTTTTTTAGGGTGGCATCCTCTCACTTTAATTATTCACTTTTTTGCGATTATTTTTATATGAAATTTTGTCTTTCTCCTCTTTATTTATATATAAACCTATACCCCTTAAGCCATCAATAACACAAAACATTTCTCCTCTCTTTCTTCATTCTCTCGAGTCGTTCTATCAAATTTCTCCTTCCTCTGCTCTAGTATCTACTACTCGATCGTTATTTACATACATAAAATACGATCGGTCTTGTTAGAGTTTTTTCTCAAACAAGACCGTTCGTTTAACTTTTTTTTTTTTTTAAATCGGTCAAGGAGTTTCAGTATCCGTTTTATTCAAAAAGTATATAAATGGCTCCGGTTTCGCTGCCTCCTGGTTTTAGGTTCCATCCGACGGATGAAGAACTAATCACCTACTATCTCAAAAGAAAGATCAACGGTCGCGAGATCGAGCTAGAGATCATCCCTGAAGTAGACCTCTACAAGTGCGAACCATGGGACTTGCCAGGTAACCATTGTTGTAATCGGCTAAAATTAACCACATATCAACATATGAATTATATATAATTTGGTATGATAAACTTTTTGGTCTAAGAGCTGAAGAACGTAGGTTCAGGAGTTATGGTGAAGAAAAGAATAAGAATATCACAACGACAAGAAAACCATAATATACGTTAGCTTGACGAAAATAATACATCTATATATATATATATATATACCTCCTGTTATATTACATGTATCCCTATGATCAATTGATGTTAAACAAAAGTGCATTAGGCAACTGTTGCATTTAACAACTTCTAGGTATGCAGCGGTTTGGATTTCAGTTTCCAGCCAGATTTATATTCGGTTTTAAACATCTTCAATTATCATTTTTTAAAATCGAGTTTAGTTTTTTCAACAAACACTAAATCAGTTTATCTTACGGATATAAAACAAACAAGGAAAGTACTATTTTCACAAATTAAAAATCGATTCAGTAACTTTATTAGATCTTTCAAGTTCTATTTGGATTGAATTACCAATTTGTTTTATCCAAGATCAAATTATAAGTGTAGATGCAAAATAATATATACGAAAAACGATTATCTAATCATATATAGTACTATAGTAGAATTGATTTGAGCAGACGCAACCGAATAGTAGGAGTCCTTTTGGTCAAAAACTCTCTCATGCATGGACCACCACACCTTTTATGTTATTTTTTTTTGGAACCTTGTTATGGTTTATTATAATAATAATAAATTATACGGAAGAAACTTCATTTTTTAATGGCTCAATACAAAGTAGTTGTATATAACTGCAAATTAACTAGTTAACTATGAAAAATTGGCAGGGAAGTCACTGCTTCCGAGCAAAGACCAAGAATGGTACTTCTTCAGTCCAAGGGACAGAAAGTACCCCAATGGTTCAAGAACAAACCGGGCAACAAAAGGCGGTTATTGGAAAGCCACGGGCAAAGACCGGCGGGTAAGCTGGAAAGATCGAGCCATAGGAACCAAGAAAACATTAGTTTATTACCGTGGACGCGCCCCACACGGTATCAGAACTGGTTGGGTCATGCATGAATATCGCCTCGATGAAACCGAATGCGAGCCTACTGCGTTCGGCATGCAGGTTTACTAACTAACCAAACCGATTAATTATCTAATTTAAAGTATTCGTTTATTATTTTCGCGCATAAACGTATAGATAAACCGATTAAAAAAAATGTAATTAGTAATCGATGTTATAATTTCAGGATGCATATGCACTTTGCCGCGTTTTTAAGAAGATAATCATTGAATCGAAACCAAGAGATCAACATCAGCCTTACGTCCACACGAGCTCGAATATAAGTGGTAACTCGAGTTTTGACGTTTGTTCAGATCTCGAAATAAGTTCGGATACACATCAAGTTCTCCATTATAATAACGCTACCGATATCCAACCGCCATTTGGAAACGCAAACGTAACCGGTGATCACGACGGCTGGTCGCAATACTTGTCACAAGACATGCCTGCAAGCTTTCCAAATTACGGATCTCCTTATGGACCATACCTCACTCAATCAAAGGTAACCTTAATTAACACAACTATATATATATAGATCTAGTATTGAATCAACCGTAACTTATACTATAGTGCATGTATATATATATAGGTGAATACAGAAGCTGAATGTGACATGTTGCAACATCATATGCCGTTGCCACAGTTGCGGGTAGAAAACTCACCGGTTCAAGCCGGCGATTTCTCCACGATAACGAATCAAAACAGCGATCATTGCGGTTTCGAGGACTTTACTTTCGCTTCAAGCAACTCCAACCAGTTCTATGGCAGTAACGTTGATGATCGTTTGTTGCACAATGACAATTTCAATGAACAATTGCTCAATGCTGAAAATTCTACATGGATGAGAATGTCTGAGGGGAATATAAAACAGGTAATTTAAATATATATATATATATATATATATATCAAATATCATTAACATGATTTTGTTAATATTATTGCTCTAAACTCAACCATGAATTTGTCCCCCCTTTTTTTTTAACAGAGTTTTATAGAAGAACAAGAGATTTTGCCAAGTTTTGAGCACAATGATCAAGATCTTGAGTTTTATGGTGGGTATATATGATCTATAAACTCTAATTACATAATTGAAACCATATACAAATGTCGAGTATATTAAACCTGTGATAGTTATTAAAATACTCATTGATATTATCGCAGGCGGATCTCGGACTAATACAATCAACAACATAGAGATCGATGAATTTTTCTCGTTTGAAAACCGAGTAGAAGACAACGACAATTCAAACGTAACACTAGATTCTTCAGGAATCGAAACGGTTGAAGAAGAGATTAGCGTAAACCATCAAATGCTCATTTGTACACGTCAAACAACAGAAGTGTTATACTATCAAGTCGTACCGTCGCAGATATTGAAAATTCACATAAATCCGGTTCAAGGCATTGAAGAGAGAACAATGGTGATGGAGGAAGGCAAGGATTCTTGGTTGCACAAGGCTGAAAGTGCTGCGAAGATGAAATTGAAGCAGCTTAGTGTAGTTGCAAAACATTATTACAAATGTCTAACGATTATTTTCTGATTTATTTATTTATGTTACTAACTTACTATTGTGGTATACCCCTTTGAAAAGAAGAGAGGGTATACATATATATATATATATATACACTATCATACATTGTATTCTATTTAGAGATTGATTTCATTGTCATTTGCTTAAGATCGATCATTGGGGGAGATAAAGGCTATTTATAATGTTAATTTTGAAATTATTGGTATAGATACTTTATCATTTTTTTTTCTAACAAAGTAATTAAGTTTGTATTTTTTCCAAAACCATAAAAAAGAAACGAATTGCTATATAAAATTCTTTAAGTTACCAAAGCCCAACAAAATAAAGGAGGACCCAATAGAAATTCCTCAAATCACACGAGTCACGTGGATAACACGAGCGTTAGGGTTTTTCGACAACAGCCTGCCTCATCGCACCTATAAATACCCTTTGAATAAACCTCTCAAACTCAGAATAACCAGCCGTCGACTTCTCTTTCGCTAGATATATAACACCATTCTCTGTTCTTCAGTTTTCAATTATAAATCTCGTGTACAATGGTTTTTCAATTTGTTTTCGCGTCACTTTTACTGATTACCACCGTTTCTGTTCATGTTCGTTGTGTATGAGTTGACGCTAGATTCATTCCCTATTTCTGTTATTCGTTTTGATTATTTGAGAAAAAACCCTTTGTGGTTTTTTATATCAGCTCGAATTTGCAGTTTAGGGTAAATTTGATTGGTATCTTCTCGTCTAGACAATCTAAGATCTGTGATTTTCTTGTCTGATTGAAGGTTTTCGACTTGTTTGATTGTTGTTTTAGAGGTTTTTGTTTAGACAGAACATAAAGAAGTTTGTAGGTAGAGTAATGGAGATTGGAGGTGATGACAATTTCCCCAGATGATCGAATCTGATTATACTGAGCGAATAGAATTTCCTTTCAACAGAGGAATTCAAGCCAATTAGTCTGATCCTTCTCCTTAATTTGTATGAATTTTGTCCGTTTTGGTTGTTAAGTTTTGAAATTTTATAGTTTTTTTAGAAGAAGAGATGGTTGAATGTTTTGTAATGATGGGAGTTTTGGAGGTGATGACAATTTCCCCAGATGATCGAATCTGATTATACTGAGCGATTTATATTTCCTCATCAGAGGAAGTCAAGCCTATTTTCTGATCCTTCTCCTATATTTTTTATAAAGTTTTGAAACTTTTTCTTCGTTTATTTTCTGCGATTTTTCTATGTTGAACAAAAAGTAAGGAGGTTGGAGGTGATGACAATTTCCCCAAATGATCGAATCTGATTATACTAAGCGATTATTATTTCCTCTTTCAAGAGGAAGTCAAGCCAATATTCTGATCCGTCTCCTAAATATTTAAAAGTTGAATTTATATAAATTTCAAGTTACCTCCGAAGTTAGAAAATTGTAATTGTTTGCGTTTTGGGATTGTCACGTGACTGGATTAAGAAATTGTATCATTTTGTAATTTAACCACACGATACGATATTAATTGCGATATAAATTATGTTGAAGTCGGAGAAGTTAACGAGTAGACAAGAATGGAATGAAATCTCAAAATAATAGTTCATAATCTAATCAACAACTCTAAATATATTTGCACCACATAAATTGGAATAGGCAAAACAAAAAAAGTTCAGCTAAAATAAACTTAGAACCTTATATGTTGTCATATCGGCCAAATGATGTTGGAGAACTGAGTAACAGACATCGCATAGTGGAACCCGTTCATTGTCGTTGATAAATAGTGACGCAAAAGCTGACGAAGCGCAAAACGCAGCAAACGCGATCACGTTTACCCCCGTAAAAACGACGTCGTTTCTTCCATTGCATCTTCACGCCAAAGTATACTTATCGGAAATAGGTCCGACGAATTTTGATCAGGCGATGGAGACTTATCTGAAAAGGAAGAAGTGGGTAGCTATAGGGTTTCTGTTGATCCACTCCGTCGCCATTCTGATCTTCACGCGTGGGTTTCTTCTCACTCGAACAGAGCTTCCTTTTCACAGTACTTGCTCCGACGTTTCCCGCTCTCCTTGCCTTGCTTCTTCACTCCCGAATCATGATTCAAACTCCGTTCATGGGTCTAAACAGAACCAGCCGAAATGTTGGACCAAACCGGTTGTTGATCGCGTCGTTATCATTGTCTTGGATGCTCTCAGGTTTGAAGATTTCAAAAGATGTTCACTTTTGTTCAGATTAAATTTCACTATTCCATGAGCATTTCGTGATCTTAACTGTGTGTTGTTTCAGAATCGACTTTGTTGCCCCGAGTGCTTTTTTCCCAGGTGAGTTAAAAAAAAAGGCTCTTTTGTGGTAATGATCACTTGTCGTTAAATGATCTTAGTAACGAGTCTGCAAATAATTTCTTGAATTGATAGAAGCAAAGCCATGGATGGACAAATTGACAATCTTGCAGATGCTTGCATTTGCTAACGAATCGTCTGCTAAGATCTTTAAGGCTTTTGCCGATCCTCCTACAACGAGTTTGCAGCGTCTCAAGGTCCCAAATTTTTATACACTTTCTTGTCTGGTGACTACCTATAGATTGATTTCAACTCCTTTTTCAAAATCGTAGTGTGTGAATGAATTCACAGGGATTAACAACTGGAGGGTTGCCTACTTTTATCGATGTTGGGAACAGTTTCGGTGCTCCTGTTATTGTTGAGGATAATTTCATTAATCAGGTTTAGACTTATCTAAGCAAAAGTGTTTTTCTTTTTCTTTTTCTGATGTCTCACTTTGATTGATCGTAAGATTATAACTTGAAAGTGTTCTCTCTATATACATAGCTAGTGCTGAATGGGAAACGGTTGGTGATGATGGGTGATGATACTTGGACACAGTTGTTCCCAAACCAATTTCAAAAGTCATATCCTTTCCCTTCGTTCAATGTTAAAGATCTGGATACTGTAAGTGATTTATGTTCTGCTTCGTTACTAGTATGTTTCTTTCCGAGCCTTTATAAGTGTTAGACTGTGTGATGTTGCTCGTGCTTATACCCAGGTCGACAACGGATGTATTGAGCACCTATTCCCAACCCTTTACGAAGATGATTGGGATGTTCTAATTGCGCACTTTCTTGGCGTGGTATGCCCACACCGGTTATATCTTTTTGTCTTTTCCTTTGTCATATAGCCATTCGTTTATTTGATTCAGTTAAGTATAATATCTGCAGGACCATGCAGGGCACATATATGGAGTAGATTCCGTCCCAATGATTAAAAAGTTGGAGCAATATAATTCAGTTTTAGAGGTAAACTCAACGAAAACAAACCATCTTATTTTTATAACTTTCGCTTGCAACCTTCTCCACTCTTTGCAAATTGTTAGTAGCGTTTGCTATATTAATCTTGTCTCACAATCTAAACTTGCCTCGTATAGAAAGTCATAGATATATTGGAGAGCCAGGCGAGACCTGGTGGTTTGCATGAGAGTACTATGCTTATCGTAATGGGTGATCATGGGCAGACATTAAATGGGGATCATGGCGGAGGGACTGCTGAAGAAGTAATAAGCTGTTTTCTTCTTATATATATGCTCTGCTTCAAGTTTTTGATTCCACCTTCACTTTTTTTTTTTAAATCCCTTTACAGGTAGAAACAGCCATGTTTGCCATGAGTACGAAGAAGCATACAACTCCGGTTCCTCCCGAGTTTGATACCGCATCTTGTAGACAGAATTCGGTAACTGTGACCTTCAATTTATATTCCTGAGTGATCATTAGAATTGATTTTGAGACATCTCATTAATGTGATTCTATTTGGTTCATCCTAATGTCAGGATGGGAAGCAGATTTGCATCAGCTCCATCGAGCAGGTTAGTATCAAAATTGGATGTGATGCCTTTCCTCTTTCTCTGTACAAACCCCTTTGCCAGGCTTGATTTCTTTGAGATGTTTGCAGCTTGATTTTGCGGCAACATTGTCAGCTTTGCTTGGGATATCCTATCCTTTTGGAAGGTGCCTTGTAAGGATCATTGTCTAATTTTGTTTCCAGTTTCTTCAGGAAAATATCCATTCACGCTTACTAATATCTCTAACATTTTCTTACATATCTCAAAATGTCAGCATCGGACATGTCAACCCTGAGCTCTATGCCCTTGGTTCCAACAAGTGGAATTTGGATGACTTTGAGTTGGGCAATTTTGGCGCCAAATCAGCAGTGAAAGAATGGATGGAAAATTATGTGAATGTCCTCTGTGTCAATGCTTGGCAGGTAACAAGTCTTTCAGTTCAAAAACCTTTAAAAAATCTTTTCGACGGTGTTCTGTTTTTTTGGACCCTCATTTTACAATTCCATTTATATGCAGGTGAAAAGGTATATAGATGTTTATTCTAATTCATCCGTTGTTGGTTTCTCTTCCGATGATATGTCGAGGATATCGGATCTATATTCCGCCGCGGAACAGAGTTGGTCTAAGTCTGTCAAGCACATATTGATGGATAGTAATGGAGATGAGAACAGTACAAAGATATCTGCCCTTAAAGACCAAATTGCTGCATATTTGAGTTTCTTCTCAAGCGTTGTGGAACTTGCACGGTCTAAGTGGACAGAGTTCAATCTGAATCTAATGATTACTGGGTTTGCGATATTGGTTATATCACTCATCCTTCAGTCTCTTGCTATCTTTCATGGCGATAAAACTTATGCAGTGGATTCTTGGTTATCTACTGGTGCAGCATTCACTCTCTTCATAGTACTGATTCGTGCTTCCAGCTTTCTTTCAAACAGCTATATTTGTAAGTTTCAAGTAATTTTACGGTTCAACTTTTTTTTGTCTCGCATTCACGCTGCTGACAACGAACTCTTGTGTTATCAATAGTGGAAGAAGGAAAAGTTGCAAACTTTCTCCTGGCAACAACTGGACTTATCAGGCTGCGTTACTCGGTCATGAGGAAAACTATGCGGAAAGAAGTCAGTTTTGTCTTTTTTACTTGTCTTAGTTACTCCTGGTTATTATCTTAAACGCTGCTTGTCAGGTAATAATATTTTTCGTTTTATCTTGTCTGCAGGGTGTTATATTTCTTGCTATGGTTTCTGTTCTGAGAGTTTCTATAGATATTGGGTTAACAAAGCAAGCTGCAACGTCTCAGTTTATGAGTAGCTCACCATCGTGGATGCTAGGGATAACTCCAGACCATCCAGCTTTGACTTATGCGACCGAACTCGCACCAATTCTATCGGTGTTTATACTCATTTGCGTGCTCTACTTAGCGGTTGCTAGAACACCTAATGAGGGGTTGTGGAAGTATGTTACTGTTGGTAGCATGATAAGCTACTTCTTGATAGCATTGCTCTGGGCTTCGGAGAGCGATATATTTGGTTTGGATGGTTTACTTGACGTGACTGGAGGAAGAAACCGCATCCCTCAAACGGTTTATGTAATTGCATTGGTGCAGCTCTTCGTTCTAGCTTCCGCGCGTATGTTTTGCGCTGGAAATGACAAGAATTGGGCCATCAGAACCGTCGCTCTTGTATCTGCTTGTAGCTCGCCAGTGATTCTCTTGTCGGGGAAGCAAGGATCAATGCTTGCATTAGCATATTTGCTGGCAGGTAAATTTTATTCTTCTCACTTGATAATTATCTAATCGGGTCATTAAGGTTTAACTCATGCATTTAAACGTATGTAGGGTATTGTATAATGAGGCTGGAGGGTGTAGAGAGGAGAAGCAAATCAGATGGACAGAAAAATTTCTCGAAGCTAAATCCTCTCTCTGTGGTGCAATGGACTCTTCTTTCTATATGCATGTTTTTCGCCAGCGGCCATTGGTGCGCCTTCGATGGTCTTCGTTATGGAGCAGCTTTTGTTGGGTAGGTCCAAGTTTCTATTTGAAGCCTTGTTTCTGTGTGATGGTTTTTGCTGACATCTTTTCGTCAGGTTTGACGAGTTTGTGCTTATACGACAAGCCATCCTTTTGACGATTGAAACATTTGGATTCTCGATCATCCTTTCTGTATTTGGACTTCCTCTCCTCATACCGATCCGCTCTCAAACTCCTCAGGCTCATGGAGAAAAGCGCCACCTGCTGTTTCAAGTAAGATATCTTCATATCGACTCGTCTTTTGGTAATTTATCGTAAGAGATTCACCAACAAGATGTTAATTCATATTTCTTTTCATTCTCATCAGATGTATATGCTCTATGGAGTTATATCCGCGACTACTGTAGCGGCAACGATCCTCTGCGTCACTATCCACAGAAGACATCTGATGGTAAACACAGCAAGATTCAGTCAGACCAAAGGTCTTTGTCTTGTTTCTGTAACTAAATCATTGCTCTCGTCTTCTTGCAGGTTTGGGGTTTGTTTGCTCCAAAGTTTGTCTTCGACGTTGTTGGTCTCATCCTCACTGATCTCCTCATCTGTTTGGCTTCAGCTTATTATCTTTGATTCAATTGATTAAGTTTGACGATAGACTGACAGATTGTACTAGATACTTGTTTTTGACTTCTCTATGAATGTATAAACAAAACAATTATCAGAAAACCTCTTTTGGCATTTATATAAATTTATGTTACAAATCTCCAATCCAATCTTTAGACACCTGAGAGATGATTCCTTTTCTCATTACAATAAGAGATGCAATCTGCAAGAGTTCTCTTGTACCTTAGCCTCCACTGCACTGACAATCTCCATTTACTCATTATCCTGTTAGTTTTCCTGGAAAACTCTACAGCTTTCCCAGAAAATCCAGTGACATCCCCATTGATCAAATCCCACAAACCATTCACATCGAGAAAAGCGCGTATTTCGATGCCAAAAGCTTCTGTTTCTTTCGGCTCCAGACGCAACCCAGGGTCTTGGAGTTTGTCAATGTCCTGAAGAAGCACAGTGTCCTCTAGGACAGATGTTGGCAGATCCCTTAAAACACTCCCACATTTCTCTGAAATCCACTTCATCACCAGAATCTCATTCTTCACAGATATCTGAGATCCAGCATAGACAAGGCGCATAACCGACTTGTCACGCTGGCTCTGCGGGACCAGCCAAAGTCTCAACGTCGATACGAGCGCAAAAGATGGCTTACCGTCTTGATGGATGTATAAAGAATCTTTAGGCCATGAAGAAGCTAGAGAATAAAGACTGGCTTCTAGAGGGATGAAGACCTTGTCGTTTGGGTTCTCTTCTAACGTAAACCCATAGTGCTCAAGAAGCTCTAGATTCGTGTATGTCCCGTAGCATAGAAGAACCTTAACACCCACAAAAACAACCCTCGACATTTTTAGTTTCTTTTCCATTTTTATGCTTCCGCTTCATTAGTTTCGAAGATGTAAGAAAGCTAGTTAAGAGCTTGTACCTGTTCTCCTAGCTGATAATTCCTTCTTGCGTAAAGACAATAGGCATTGGCATCTTCAACGAATCCACCGTCTGTGAGCTTTTCAGACTGAGACTGACACTCGCTAGTTGAAATAGTTTGAGGCGGTGATGCCTGACTCTCAGGACCTTTTGAGGTATTTGAAGCATCTCCAGGAGCATCGTAGTTAAACAAGTCCCCCACAGGGCACAGACACCCAGCACTATCCCATGGTATATGCAGCGTCCGTGAAGATATCTTCAAACATAAGAGAAGAGTTTGAAGCTGTAAGGTTCTAATCGATTAACAACGATTGCTCTCTAACAACTTTCATTTGATAGATAAAAGTATTCTTACAGTTGCAGAAGCCCAAAGCCATGCTTGGAGACTCTGAAACTTTGGCTTAAGATCTAACTCCTTCATCATCGCACCAGCTTCCTTCCACTCAGACTGAGACTTGGCTATGGCTTTCTCTGCAGCCCAGACAGCATCTTCAACCTAAGGACATGATCAAAAAATTCCACTTTTAGAGTTGAAATCACCAGAGGGAGAAAAGGAAAAGAAAAGGAGAAAGGGACATGATCTCAACCTAGAAACATGAGATCTGACCTATTTGAAAAGCAAAATGAAACACAAAGTGTAGTAGAGTCACAGAACTTGTAAAGCTTGCTTCTCGAATTCCCCGAATGTGGCCAAGAGATCATAGTCACGAGGTAAATGCACCAAGTATTGGTACCAGAAAGAGCTCTTCCCTTTGCTCATTTCGTACAATAAGCATACACTCAGTATCTGCAATTTCAAAGACTCTGGTTATGGAAATTTTCTCAGATACAAAACAGAAAGCCACCACGCAGAGAAAGAAGAACCTGTGTCGAAGAAAGCGATCCGTGGACAGAAACAGCATCCCTCAATGCTTGATCTTTCGCGACCATGGTTTCTGTGGTCAACAGAGCCTTTCTCGGGACTTTCAAAACCAATTCTCCTTTCCTGAGCTCACGAACAGCACCCAAACCTCTCCTGATTCCATCAATTGAGCAATGAGAAGACAATTTTATGTGAAAAAACAACAACAACAAAATCGAATTCGTTTGTTCACGCACCCGCCGGCGAGAGGGAAGTCGGCGACGGAAAGGGAATGGCCGAGGCATGAATCGCGAAATCGGGAAGAATCAAAGGAATCTGAAACACCAAGCTCTGCTGCCCATCGCAAGAACATTTCCATATCCATACTTCAATGTCCGTCGTCTTCTTCTTCGTGAGTGTTTTGACACTCCTTAAACCCTGATTCTTTCTTACACGCACGGGTTTTTTTTCTTCTGTAAACTACGAAATTACCCAAGCCGGTCTTTTCGAAATCAAATGTGAACGTACCGCGGACTAAATCAAATGGGTTAAATCCGGCTTGGTTCAAATCCACATGGTTTTCAAGTTTCAACTAATAATTTTCGGTCTTCCATAACCGCGGGGTAGGAGGAAGTTAAATAAATTCGGTAGATGTTCATGTTCCTACAAACCAGAAATACCTAATTATATTCTTATATTCATCTGTCATGCAACCGCTATTAATAGTCATCACAAGAAACGTGACTAAGTATATAATTGATATGTGTGGTCTATAGATCAACGAGACAAAAACTAAAATACCCATTTGGTCTTTTCTAAGATATTTTAGAAAAAAAATTTGTTCATAATTAGATGATTTTTTTTAAAATTAATGCAAAAAATAATTGTTTAAATTGTTTAAATTTTGTATATTATATTTTTATTGGTTGAATTGTTTTGGAAATGATGTTTTATTTTGGAAAAAGATAAAACTAAATAATTTCTTAATATATGTGTAAAACCTTAAACATCTTATATAAAAAACAATGGAGGGAGTAATTGATATGATTTTCGATGGAGGAAACAGGTTTAATCAAAACGACTCGAAGTGTGTATATAATGCGTAAGCTAAACAGAAGAAGTGTACGTGACCAAAAAACAAAACGAATCAAGTACTGTACACAGAATATGCAAAACAAGAGGAAAGAATATTCAGCTTCTCACGGCTAAGAAGTAAGAAGAAACTGGAAGCTTACCAGATCTTGTGGAATTTAGAGTATGCGAATTATTACGCTTGGGGCCAATTTTTTGTTTTTAAACAATAAAACACTAAATACAATACACCACTGTAGAGTAATGGTCGATCGAGTAGATCCAAATTTAAAGGTTTCAGCAATTCGTCTATTTTTACGCGTGGCATCCATGTAAAAAAAGATAACGTAGTTTAGCATTTCAAATCATGCAATTCTTTAACAGAAAATACGTACATAATTCTATTCAATTTTAGTATTGATGATGAAAACAATTCAGTATTTGGAGTTAGTTTCTACACGACCATATCGAAGTTAGTTGTTTTTACCTATCTTCGAATCAATTATCAGTATGTTATACCTATTCTAGATTAAAGTTGTTAGTGGTAATTAGCTATTCCACGAAGACAAAATTGATACAAAAATTATATAGGTTGAGGAATGTTATATTTAATTGTAAACTCTACACACAATCGATTCGTGTATAGTGGAATTAAGTGTACCATGTGACACGTCCATTTAGTTGCGTCCATTAACGAATTCAATATTTTTAATATATCTACTACTTTTTCTAGACCATTTTAGAAACTAGAGCAACTAAAAAACTCGTCATCAGAAACCTTAAAATATGCGCGGGGTATGGAACAAAAAGAAATCACACAACTTGCAGCATTAAGTAACGCTACGTGTCGAGCCATGTAACCATGTAAATGGTGACTACGGTCTATTTCCTTGGTACTTTTTATAGTAAAACCTATTTTATTCAATTTAATTATAATATTTGACATACAAAACGATAAATTTCCAGTCTCGGACTAAAATGTTATGGGCCACCCACGAAACCATAACACGATTTACGAGTACACGTTTCCATTTAAAACCGTGTCTCCATCACTCGCCAAACAATTCTAGTACGTACGTGAACTGTTTGACGATTTGCATCGAATCTTAATGATTTTCTCGTGAATATTCGGCGAAATGGTTTTTTAAAAAATAAAATAAATGAAGAACTGTAATTTGAGTGTATATGTAAAAAAAAATAAACAGCTTATACCACTTAACAACTATAAGTTGTTTATAATTTACGTTTCCCAAAACTGAAACATCATTAAAAAAAGGGTCTCTATCTAAGAAGATTACGAATATGTATTTAAACGAATGTTTGTTACGACTGTGTGGTGATGGGATAAGTTTCGTGTGCGTTTTACATATCGAGATCGTACCAAAACAAACGATTGATGTTATTGATTATTTATGATGTCAATTAAGAACCAAATCGAAAAAGGTCTGTATTATTATTATTGTATACGAGTATACGTATTATACTATTATTGTAAGTTCTTAGACCAAAAACTTACAATAACACGTATTTCACAGAAGATACGGACGAAAAAACGGACCAGACCAACAATGAAAAAGGAACAGAAGAAAAATACAAACCTTCTGAATGCAAGAGAGGTAACTCAGTCTAGTAGAGAGAGGAGAGAGAGGAGAGAGCATTAGCAAGTTGCCAACGAGGGTAGAGAGAGAGGGTGGGACCCAAATACGACTAAGAGGAAATCTAGCTTTTTACACTTTCTACCAATGATATATCGACACGTGGAAAAGCAACGTCGCCCACTTTACCCTTGGGTGCTCCTCCGCACTTGATAAGCTTATCGCTCTCCCATTGGCTGTACTCTCCACGTGGCATCTCACCGATCTCTCTTTCTGCTTTTTGTTTATGTCTCAACTCTCAACAGAACCCGAACTGGCATGGTCCCACCCAAACCCGAATGTCCTTTCTACCAACAAATACGTATTATATATGTTAAATTCGCATTTTTAGTTGTCTAATTAATAGCGATTAGAATAGTGATCCCACCTCCGTGATGAAATGTCTTCATTGTTGTTTGACCGCAAATTATATTTTTTTTAGCAATGATCTAATAATCTAAAGCTGGTAATAGTTACGTTTCGTAACATAACCATTACTATACCATGATTATGCTTAAACCAACTTAATGTTTTTGTGATGTGGAGTGAATTTTGTTGCATCTACAGAATTCTATTTTACGTGTATGTTGGCGATCATTAATAAATGTCTCCACTAAATAGGATTTTATTAAAAGACATATATGTTTAATATACAATTACAACTTTATGTAAAATGAATTTTATTTCATCAATCTTATATTCTGTTTTTTTATATATCGTCAAGTTTCTATCACTATTTTTAATAAATACAGCATGTCTATATTTGGTGATGTATTTCTATTTTTTTAATTAAAGGATTTCAAACTGTTTAGAAATATGTGTTTAAAAAGGTTAAAAATCAAATGAATTTGAATACATTTATTAAAATTGATGATGTAATTTTGAAAAGTTAAAAAAATGCTGCTTTAATTAAATCATCATTAGTATAAAAACACAAGCTTAAAACATATAGTTATTTATATATAAAAAATCTAGAGCTCTTAATTGACAAGTTATATATCCAGCCTGGCACTAAATTGGTGAATAAATAAAATATGGAATATCATAAAGTTTCCAAAAAATATTTTGAATTCCGCTTAAATAATAAATACTTGTTAATTGATACAATTTTTTGGCGAAAAAGGAGAAAACGGGTTTAAAAGGTTAGTGATTTTTAATTAAGATTTTTTACCCTATATGAAAAAACCAAAAGGTCTTTGATACCATGATACGAGTCACCCGAGATTCGAAGACACTTTAACATGGCCAGTCAAAAATTAAATTAAATTACACACACAAATAAAATAAAAAAAATACTAACGACTTTTGTATTTATTCGGGCTTCTCATTAAATCCACCCCAAACAAAAAAAAAAAAAAAAAAAAAAAGACGAAAGGTAAGAGGGAAAGAAGAAGAAATTTGAGTGGGTGAGATTTTTTGCGATAGAGGAAGAGTCATCTACTTGTATGCTAGTATATATTACAGCAAGCGTTGCAAAATGAACTTCTGGAGAATTTCTGACATTAATGGGTCAAAACCTTTTTTCTCATCTTTTGATTGATTAATTGTTTGAAAATCTCCTCCTCGGACCTCGGCCATCTTCTTCTTCTCCTCCTCACCGTCTCTTCTTAGAGAGAGAAGATATATAGAGAGAGAAAGGTAGGCTTTTGTTTCCATCACTCATTTTCACCCGTTTGGTCAGCTTACTTATTCATGTTATCTCACTGTTCTGCTGCTTTTGGGCTCTTTGTGTTCATTTGTGTACCTTCAAATATTCAGAATCACAACGAAACGTAATCTAATTTTGATTTTTGTGTAATTTCGAGTGAAAAATAGACGAACCCAGCTGATAATTTAGCCAGAATTGTAAGGGATTTACTTGTTTGTCCTCCTTTTTATGTTCTTCATTTGCTTTTGGAGATCATCTCATTACCTTTTTTTGTCTATTTGCTATGAAATTGTAATTTTGGCTGAGCAAATTGACTTTCTTTCTCGCTTACTCCGGAATCAGAGATCTCGATTTCTCATCAACTCGTTTTTGTCAATCCATTTTCAGGAAAGCATTACTGTTTATCAGTTCGGTCCAAATCAAAAACTGAGTTTCACCGCAAAGTTGGGATTTTTATTCTTCTAAGTGAAGAACAGAGTAAACAAAAAAAAACCCATCTCTCTCTCTCAAGAGCTTGAGTATGTCTTCTGTAGCAGTGTTAGGGGTTGCTGCTTCTTCTCTAAATCCAGACCCAATGAACAATTGTGGGTTGGTAAGGGCTCTAGAGTCTTCGAGATCACTCTCTCGTTGCCAGAATCAGAGAGTAAACACTGGTAGGAGGAAGCAAACAACAGCCTGGAGCTTTTCTTCGGTTATGAGCTTTAGAGGAGGAAGAAGAAATGGTGCTGTTTCCTCAAGCTTAGTAGCAAGTCCTGCAGGAGAGATAGCCCTCTCATCTGAAGAGAAGGTTTACAATGTTGTGTTGAAACAAGCAGCTTTGGTGAACAAGCAGCTTAGGTCTACTTCTCCAGACCTTGATGTGAAGAAACCGCAGCAAGATATTGTTCTCCCTGGGAGTTTGAGTTTGTTGGGTGAGGCTTATGATCGATGCGGCGAAGTTTGCGCTGAATATGCTAAAACGTTCTATCTCGGTTAGGATCTCTTTTCTCTCTCTCTTCTTTGGTGTAGTGGTGAAATTGTATGTTCGTTTTCTGAGTTTGTAGTTGGTTTTTGTTGCAGGAACTTTGCTTATGACACCCGAAAGGCGAAAAGCGATTTGGGCTATCTACGGTGAGTTGTTGTTTAACAAACTGTTTTAGAGTATCTGCACTGTCATCATTGATTTTGAATTGTTAGATTAAAGTGATGCTCATAGTTGATTGGAGATGAAGTTTATATTTTGAATACCAAACCATTGATATGTTAAGAGTTAATCGTTTCATCTCGTTATATTACATCACTGAAACTAGTATTTTTAGCTAAATTTTCATAGCAAGAAGTTCTAAGAAGCTAAAATAGATTCCTTTCAAACTTAACACTCTGTGTGTTGTTAGCTTTGTGTCTAAGACAAGTCCATGAAGCACCACCAAGCATCCAAATTTGTACTCTTTTAAGACTAAGACCCAAGATAATTGTATTAAGTGAGCTACTAAGATGGGGTTTTAATGGGCTTTTGGGCCCAGCAGTCTTAAACTCTGGTGATTATTACTCTTTTGCTGAACAGTGTTAGTGCATGACCCTTTGGGATTACTATTATGATCCAAAGTATGTGAGGGATTCAAAACTATCATATATCAAAGAAAGGTTGTTTACTTTTTTTGTATGTTTGATTGTTCCCGACTTGATGATTTTGCTCCCTCTTTTTATGTGCAGTTTGGTGTAGAAGAACAGATGAACTCGTAGATGGGCCTAATGCTTCACATATAACTCCAATGGCGTTAGATAGATGGGAAGCAAGGTTAGAGGATCTTTTCCGTGGCCGTCCTTTCGATATGCTTGATGCTGCCCTCGCCGATACCGTTGCTAGATACCCGGTTGATATTCAGGTTAGTCTTTCCTCATTTCATCTCGTGTGTCAAGTTTTGCATTCAAATCTATTGCGAAAATGAGACCATCTACATATGTTGTCTTCGTTTTGCAGCCATTCAGAGACATGATCGAAGGAATGAGAATGGATTTGAGGAAGTCGAGATACAAGAACTTTGATGATCTCTATCTTTACTGCTACTATGTCGCGGGAACCGTCGGTTTGATGAGCGTTCCGGTTATGGGCATCGATCCTAAGTCCAAAGCGACCACCGAGAGTGTTTACAACGCTGCCTTGGCCCTCGGTATAGCTAATCAGCTTACCAACATTCTCAGAGACGTAGGCGAAGAGTGAGTCTTTTTTTTTTTTATTAACTCTCTCAAGATTTTGATTTTACATGTCTCTCGTCAACAAGTTTACTGATTAACATAGCTCACTTAAACCGGTTTCTTGATTCACACATCTCATTGTTAAACTGGTTTTGCTGTCTGTCTCTCAGTGCGAGAAGAGGAAGGGTTTATCTGCCCCAAGACGAATTAGCGCAGGCTGGTCTCTCAGATGAAGACATATTCGCCGGAAAAGTGACTGATAAATGGAGAAACTTCATGAAAATGCAGCTTAAACGAGCAAGAATGTTCTTCGACGAAGCTGAGAAAGGCGTCACGGAGCTCGACGCCGCAAGCAGATGGCCGGTAAGTGTCTCTAACAACACTCTTAAGCCCCCACGTTTACACTTTACCGTTTACATTTTTGTTTTGTTTTCGCCCCAAAGCTTTTTTGTTTGGATCGATTTAACCCCCTTACACTTGGCTGTGCAATTTTTTCAGGTATGGGCATCGCTGCTATTATACAGGAGGATACTGGACGAGATTGAAGCGAATGATTACAACAATTTTACAAAGAGAGCTTATGTAGGGAAAGCCAAGAAAATTGCAGCTTTGCCATTGGCTTATGCAAAATCAGTGCTAAAGACTTCAAGCTCAAGATTAGCTTCTTCTTCTAAGTCGACATGAATGAGAGAAGCCAAGAAAAACAACCAAAGAGAGGGCTTTTGTGATTAATGAAAAAACTTAGGGTCGGATTTTTTATCATGTTAACTAATATACATATAAATGGGCGGATGTTCCCTTCTTTTTCTCTATGTAAAAAGTAATTTTTGAAATTTTTTATTTCTCTCTTGGCTGCTGAAGAAATATGAATTTTTTTGGTTGGAGAGATAGTTTAGTGAAAGATGCAAAGAAGTTACTGAATTCAAAAACACTAAGAGATCGAGATTCATTGTGCTCGCACAAAAAAAAAAAAAATCGAGATTCATTGTGCATCTGCATGGCTACAAATGAATGAACTATATATACTAGATGAAAATATAACATGGGAAATAATTAAATACATGATGTCTATTCAGATTTAAAGTATTAGGTTCACAAACAATTGGAAAAAAAGTTCTATAACAATTCAGCAATTTGTAGTAATACGTAACAAAATGATAACTGTAAATCTATAGTCCCCTTTAAAATTGAGAATTAACGAATTTAAATCTTTAAAAGTAAATTTATTTTATCAATTGAAACTTACAAAACATAGATAAAGAAAATATTAACGAATTTAAATCTTTAAAAGTAAATTTATTTTATCAATTGAAACTTACAAAACATAGATAAAGAAAATAGTACAGAAAATATGAAGCTTATTTGGTTCAGATCACCATAAATTCGAAATAATTCAAGAACCAGCCATCACCATAAGCTTCTTCCAAGCCGGTCTAGCCGTAATCTCTTCCCACCACCGGTTCATATTCACCCGAGCCTTGACCATCCGGTTTATATCGATTATACCCATCAAATACCGCATAGCTGGCATGTGCGTCAAATCAGCCATGGTGAATTCATCACCAGCCAAAAACCGGTTCGAAGCAAGCCGGTTCTCGTATATGTCCAAAACTTCCTCAAGCTTCACCTTGAGGTCCTTGACCAAAACGACGTCACATTCTTCGCCTAACCTAGGCTTGATGACTAGGTTAATCACAATGGGGTGGGCCAGAACGTTGAAGTAATGGGTCTCAACATCGGCCCACTGATCCACGATGGCTCGGTGCTCTAGAGACTTGCCCAAAAGGTTCGTGCCTTGGTCCGAGTACTTGGTCGCGTAGTATCTCGCAATGGCTCTTGATTCTGAGCACACACGCCAAATTTCAAAACACAATCTACATATTAATGATATAAAACAAGTATTAAAGAATGTTTTACAATGCTGTTATTAGGATCTTACCAAAAAGCTTGAAATCTCCATCTTCTATGGCTGGAACTTGACCAAATGGCTAAAAGAAAACATTAATGATATTAAATACAATTCATGACTTTTCAAAATTAGAAAATATAAAATGTTTGACCTGACGAAGAAGATGTTCTGGTTTTTTCTGCTCAAATGTATCAAGATCGATATGAACAATCTCAAATTCAATTTCTTTCTCCAGAAAACAAAGCAAGACCCTCTGTGGACAAGCTGCCGTTACCTGCCCGTATAGCTTCACAACCATTCTATAAGCGTTACAATAACTTTGCAACCAAATTTTTATTGATATAAATTTAAAAAAAAATAAGCTTTGAAACAATTTCAATGTGTTATTTTAAAATTGCTTCTCTGGATCTTATTTATAAATGTGAAGAAGTGAGAGTAGTAGATGTGTTGGCATTTTATTAGACTCAAAAACATTTAAAAGGAGCTGGTTGTTGTGCTGGTTGGGTAGAGCATGTGGTGGTTGTTCCACTAACGGTGGATATCATCCAAAGTTGCTCTACAAACTTATTAACATAAAAATTTCAGTAGTTTTCGTCTTATGATTCGAGATAAACAAAATTGATTTCTATTAGATGTCCCGTGTTTGGTCGGACCGGTGGATAGGTTAATTATTTATTTCAATTTCTGATTTTTGTGAACACTTCCCAACAACCACTTTAAATTCACATAGATAAGTAAAAGGAGACGTTTGTTTGGTTTTCTGTACGTTATCAATCATCATTAATCATCATTACCAGCTACCAAGTTTCATGGTCTTAGTTTCACATACTAAAATCACAAAGATAAAATCCCCAAAAAAAAAAAACAGCATCTCTTGTTTATCTAATTATCATCCTAAAACCTAACGTGTATCCAAAGAAAGCCATGTTCTGTTTTTAAGTGAACTGTCTTCTCATGTAAGTATCTTCATGAACAAAGACAGGATCTTCCACTCTCTCCGGAATCTGAGGCTGTCCCATTGCTATACCTCCTCCTCGGTTCGCCGTCGTCGCTGTGTCAGCAACGTTTTGTTTACTCGAAGTCAAACACAAATAGTAGACAATCCCGAGGGCAACAGTGAGAAGCGAAAGCAAAGAACCGGTAGAGAAAACTCCCGGTTTCACAATGTAGCAGGAGTAGTAACCGGCATACATTGACTCCTCAGTGTGTTCATCGTTGAGTGCAGCTCCGGTTAGCAGCAAGAGGAAAGCTATCACAAAAGTGAACCTAAGAGTAAACACAAAGATTCGTCACTTGTGTCTGTCCAGCAAAATTGTGAAGTAGGAAAGCTCGATAGGAGAAAGAAATGATGAGGATTACCAGGAAACAACGAAGCAGGTTAAGGCGATAATCCAATTAGATCTGGAAGGAGCAGGACCTTTTCTACAACAGAGACAGCCGCTTCCGACGCTGACGATTATCTGAGCCATCATTAGAAAAATAGCTGAAGTGAAGCCGAGATCCAAAGCTGGACTTCTTGGATAAGAGCATCGTGTGAGTGGATCTGAAGTGGTGGTAACCTTGACCTGAGATCTCTGCGTTGTTGTAACATGAAAATGAGAAGAAAACCTTTATACACGAGTTCGAAAGCTTGCACAAATACCATAACCAGAACAAGATTACAAAACTTTCACATGCCTAACTTGTTTTTGATCTATAAACAGACATATTAGTTCAAGAGGGATGTGATTATGTAGATTTTCATTCATTAACATACCCTGCAAAGCATTTACAGCTAACTGAGTTTTTTCGAAGATCATTCGATCAATACAACCTAGATTTAGCAAGGCTAATAACTTTGATTCTGTGTAAAATGATTATAAGATGATACTATTCCAAAAACCCATTTACATATAGATGAGACTTACTTAACTCAATTGGAATCCGACATTTAACATATGAATGCCCGAAGACATAAGCAATTACCAAAATATACCAACAGGACACACCAAAATAATATCTTTCTGCTTATTTTACCTAAACTACTTATTCTAAGATCTTCCAATTCTGAAAATCAACAAGTTCTCTGAAAAATCACTACTAGTGTGCACCATTGCTGTTTCATGACAAGAAACTAAAATTCCAAAACCAAAGAATTTCCAATTAACTCATACTCAAAAACTAGCTCAAAGACTGAAATTCTCATCTTCGACCGATGCATTCCGAATTTCCAAAAAGAAAAAAGACCAAACCCACAATAAAAGACCACTCTTTTCTTTTTTGTCTCTTCGGAGACAACCGATTAAATTGGAACAAACAAAATCACGAGGAAAAAAAAAAACCAAAATCAAAAATTTCACTACAAAGCTGAAGAATAAAACAGAAACCCTAGAAGTATCGATTCAACACGAAGAAGAAGAGCAGAAATAGAGAGAAACCTTGATCTTGGTAGCTTCAGCAGCGAAGGCAGTAACAGCTGATAATAAACCCAGAAGAGATAACACACCACACATCACAACCTTTCTCTTCTCCATCTCTCTCTCACTCAGATGCTTTTCTCTTTGTTTTCTATTTTCTGCTCTCTTTCTTCCAATATTATTGTTCGCTTTTTGGGTTCTTCTTCGTTTGTAAGAAAACGTAAAGTTGGTGACAAACCCATTAAACACCGCACTCACTCTCTTTGTTTTGCTCTCTCCTTATGGATCCACGCGTTAAGAGGGCTACTTTCGGTATTTTCCTTTCGTTTTCAGCACCAACGTCTTTTTTTTTTTTTTTTAACTCAAAAAGACCATTTATCAATTTAATTACCAAATATAACATCCTATTACCATGTAATTAATAAGGAGATTGCGAATTTGCAATCCAAAATTCTCCTATTGCATAACCGAAACTTTCGTTACATATATCAATATTATCAAGTTGATCTTTCGCACATCTATATAAATATATATATAGATGGGCCAAATGTTTGTTCGCTTTTTCTTTTTGGCATTTAACAATTTTAGTTTTGATTTTGTAAGTCTAATGAACGGTATAATTCGCTTTAAGTTTAATGGGCCTATGAAGACTATGGGCTTAGGTCCGAAAATTTCTGGTTAACAAAACAATATGATGTAATATATATGATTTTTCGTATATATATACTTTACACTTTAGATAAGCCATAAATCATACGTTCCCATAATCAATCATGCAGTTATATCCAAAACATAACGAATCGAGCATGTATATTTTTCTTAGATTCGTTAAATTAGTCGAACAAAGTATTATAAACGTTTCGAGACATCATTTATGATCCAAATCAGTCTCGAATTTACGACACAGAATATTGGTGAATTAGCTATAATATCTTACCATAAAACACACAAAAATAAAACACAGTATCTATCAGTTAACCACCTTTCTTTATACAAATCTATATATATATAAATATAGGTAATTTCTCCTTAAAACATATTATCATCATCAAAGTATACGGGTCGTTCCAAAGATGAAGAAGTCTTCCTTGTTCTTCGTCTTGTTATGCTTGTTCCAATTAAGCAAAGCAGTTGCTCGTAAACATAAAAATGGATTTGAAAGCCATGGAATCACAACTGTCACTAGTTTCGGAGCTGTTGGTGATGGGAAGATCGATGATACTCAGGTATATTATATACACTGCCACCGATTCATATTGGAGAACTTGCCTACTTTGTGGCCGAGAATCTTGTATCAAAAGAACTCACAAACGCATTTTTGTTTGGTTTTGTGTGTTAAGCATGATATATAATATAATATTTGCTTGGATATGTGTGTGTATATCCTATGTACTCTTACTTAAATATCTGTATCTGCATAAATATAGGCTTTTCTTAACGCATGGGAGGCTGTATGTAAGGGAGGAAGTAAAGGCAATACAAAGCTTCTAGTGCCTTCAGGAAAAACCTTCATGATTAAACCTCTTACATTCGCCGGTCCATGCAAGTCTTCCTCCATCTCCTTTTTGGTATATATATATATATACTTTACACTTTCTTAGTCTCAGCTCTCAAGTTACATTAGAATACAACTGATTTAACTATTTTCGGGGTTTGATTGCAAAGATTAGAGGCAATCTTGTGGCGCCATGTTACACTTGGGACGTGGGAAGATACCCAATATGGATTAGATTTGACAGTATCAACGGTCTAGTTGTCACCGGAGGCGGCACGATCGACGGTTGTGGTCCTGTGTGGTGGAATATCGTTCCGGATCGTCCCACCGTAAGTCCAACTAAAAGATCCTTTTACAATTAATCAACCCGTACGTTTACTAGAGATTGATGTATTTCTTTCGTTCTGTCTTTGTTAGGCAATGCACTTCAACAACTGTAATGGTCTTAGGTTGTCCAAACTCCGACACTTGAACAGCCCTCGGAACCACATAAGTCTAAGCTGTTCAGAGGACATCAAGGTCTCAGATCTGAATATTAATGCACATTTTAAAAGTCCCAACACAGATGGTATCGACATATCGAACTGTAGAGGAGTCGACATACGTCACTCTAATATTTCCACCGGAGATGACTGCATCGCCATTAATAGCGGTTCCTCTTATATCAACATAAGCGACATTTTTTGCGGCCCCGGTCATGGCATCAGGTGAATTCTCAATTCATAATTCACAAACAATGATTATATAATATTACGACTCTAAAATATTATGGATTATATATATATATATATATAGCATAGGAAGCCTTGGAGAAAATGGACGTTTTGCTACCGTTGAAGAAGTGATTGTAAAGAACTGCACTTTGACAAACACAGATAACGGCGTCCGAATCAAGACATATGAGGTTGTCCATTTCATCAATATTCCCTTCATTATCATTGATGTTATTATTCAAGAATACTCCACATTCAAATGGCCTTTTTGTTGTTTTGTTCGTAGAACGGATCGGGATATGCTCGGAAAATCTCATTCGATAATATCAACATGGTTGCTTCAAAGAACCCTATTATCATCGATCAGAACTACCACGATACGGGCACGGACGGATACGTAGGCTTTGAAGAAAGTCTAGATAAAAGCTGTCATTTAAGCCCAGCTTACCAGATTCAGTCTAGTAGTAATGGCAGAGGCGTGAAAGTGAGCAATGTGCGTTACAGTAGAATCCGAGGGTCATCTGCGAGCGATAAGGCCATCACATTGAACTGCGATGCGGAGTTGGGATGTGCGGATATTATGATGGATCATGTGAAAATAGTTTCAGCGACATCAGGTCGTAACTTGATTGCTTCGTGCAACAATGCTCATGGGGTTTTTAATGATACGCTTTTTTTCGTTAAGCAAAAAAAAGATTCACTGGTTTGTATTCCACTTGTAATTCGTCATTAACCAAAAACAAAATGGATTCATTTGCTCTCATTAATTTCGAAGAGCTGCTTAATCCGAGTTTTTTTATTTATTTTTGTCCTTGTGTTTTCGGGGTCGTTTAACAAAAACTGAAACTTTGTGAAGTATAATCAAATACAAATCTGAGATTATGTAGAGAAAGGGAATGATTCAAACACTCTTTCAGTGTGTAACAGAGAGAATTGGGAAGACGTTCACGCAGGCAACTAGTTTAATTAGCTACATTACATATCAAGAACTGAAATTTGGGACTCCTTATCCAAATCTAAAAACTGAAGTCCCTGTTTTTTTTCTTTTCTTTTCGCAGAAGAACAATGAATGCTGTGATTTTACAGGTCATGATTGTAAACAGATCTCTTCACACATTAGATAGCAAGTATCATCATGTGAGAAGACTATGATTATTCAAAATCCAAAAGGGCCAAACAAGGATTGAAGAAAGTATAAGAACATATAGGCATATATTGAAGCAGCATGGATCCTTTCAATCTCCAGAGTACAAAGAGCAGAGAGAAGAAGAAGATGACGACATTAAAAACGCAGAAAATACACCAAAAGCCTAACGATATAAGAAGAAAAAAGACACTCTTCCGTTGAATTTAAAGCTTTCAAAGCAGCGAAACACGAAAGCAGGACCTGGGACAGTACCGGAAGCTGGATTAATCCTTGTTCTTGAGCCTCTCGACCCTCTGGTTAAGCTGCTCGATCTTGACGACGAGATTCGTGACGGAGTACAGAATCCAGTAGAAAACGAGAGCCGACGCGATGAGCAGGGCGTTACGCTGGGACTTCATGATTGATTTCTGGTGACGGAGGTGCTCGGAAGGGGTGCAGGAATCGCCGTCGCAGGAAGGTCGAGTCTCGTACTTCCAGTAGATATCCATCAAGAGGAAGAGACAGAAAGGGATGATCGATAGAAACGGCTTCAGGAGATTACGCGTGACGGCGATCAATCCCTTGCGGAGGGCGTCGAGCCCCGGCATCGTCAAGAGGATGACCATGATCGCTTCAGCCGCCGCCGCGTAGCCCAAGACAACCCATTCGAGAGCCATAATCGATTGATCGAAGGTTGAAGATGAATTTAGATCTGACTCGGTTTCTGCGCTCCGATTTTTGAAGAATTTATGATTTTGATTTTAATCTTAGTGAGCAAGTCTAAGTCTAGATCTTTTGCTTTGTGCTTTTGGTACAAGAAGGAGGAGGATGTAACGAGGGCGAAGCACGTGGCGCTTGTGTGGTGTACGCGTCTCACACGTCGAAGTTATAATGGGCCTAGTTTTAGCCCAATAAATTTTTTACTCGAACATTTTTCAAAGAGAAAACCCTAAATATCATACAACTTCCAAAAAAATATCACTAGAATCTCAAAACAAACCAAAAAAGGGAGAATATCCAAAAATAAATTAAACCTAATAAAAACGCAAAAGTCTTAACATTTATCGTTGGTGCTGTTATGCTCAATCACAACCCAATCTTCCAAATCGTTAGAAAATTTATCTCCGTGAGGTACTTTCTTCGAGGCTTGAAGTTGATTCTCTGTGTTCCTTACGTTACTTGCTGGATTAAATACACTGGCCTCTTTTTTCAAGTCAGCAATAATCATACCTTTAGGTTTAACCGGAAAAGATACCGGCTGAGATAAACGACGATGACCAACAGAAAACTTGGAAGCTCCGAAGACTCGGTCTTCACCATCAGTTCCAAGCTCTCCGATCATATTATCAACTTCAGCCATTGTCATAGGAGGTGCACGGTTGCACTTGCGTATGAAGTCACGCATCTTGAACTCACTGACGCCGTTATTATATTGATCGAGCTTTTTAAAAGCTTCTTTGAAGTCTTGTGCCTTGGACATCGTTTGTTACCGATGACTTTTTACTCTTGGAGGTTATTTTCTATTGCAGCTGCTCTTGGAATGGTTAAACCTTTATTTATATAAAAAAAAATTTGTAAGTTTTTAATGTTTCCCTTTTATCTTTTTTTCATTTTTGCCTTAATACAGTACTACCATTTAAAATTATGTAGTTATCACGAATTTTGCATAAATTAGATAACATTGAGTAATCCGGTCGATTTAGAAGATTATTATGGGCCGACTAAATGTCCCTGTGGGTTTTTGGGGGTCGTTTAGCAAATACTGAAACTTTGTGTGTTCGTTCACAAACACTAAAAAAAAAAAGCTTCTTCTCGGTTTATCATGTATCATCATCAAACGAACACGTAATGAAAATGGAATTAAAACTCTCAAATTCATTCTCAGTTTACGTTTTACAATCACAAAGCTTCTTAAATATATAGGTAAAGTTTAATTTAAAAAAAAATATAAAATGTCATTGAAGACCATACACAAGCAAAGCTCCGACAGCGCCAAGACCGGCTAATAAGCCAACAATAACACCAATCGGAGGCAATCCTCCTCCTATGGCCTTTCCTGTGTTCACGTCATACTTTGCAAACCTCTTCTTTGGTGCTATACATTGAGGACATACGTATGTATCCGGCTGCAAAAACCGCACAGGAATACAATTAAAAACACCAAAAAATCTCAGTTTATAAGACCTGAAATCTACAGTTGGATGTAAAACCAATACATAAGTCTATGCAACCGAAACCGTTTCTTTTTACTATTCTCTTTTTATCTAAACTTGGGACTAGAGTGAAGGAATCAGACTCACCTGTTCATCAAAAGGTTTTGGTAAAGTGTATATGAATCCACAATCAAGACAAATGTGAGTAGCTCTTGCCTGCAAAAGAGAGAGAGAAATTGTTCAGACGTATCAACCATCTAAAGCTTAGAAAAAGGGTTTAGTGATACAATATTCCAATCTTAGAAAACAACAGATTACTATATATATATATATACTAGCCTTCTGAGTCTCGGTTAACTTTCTTCCAAACCGAGGAGGAGCCGGACGCTTATTTAGTTTCTTGACATCAACTTCTGCACCTCTGAGTTTGATCAAAGATCACAAATTGCATCAGATACAAATGCACAAAGCATCAGTAGAAATCTCATGTACTACTTTAAGAAGCTTAGTTTAGCGAGGAGTTAACGCAATATCATAGAAAAAGAGAAACTTCACCTTACACTTGGCTTATCAAAAAGACTTTTACACGATAGGATTAGACGATGGAAATATTTGATAAAGCCTAACGCTTTTCACTGATCGTTACAGAGGAAATAACAGGTCACACAAAATCCATCTTCTATGATTATCGATAATTTCAATCTAATCCGTTTTTAAAGAACAGAGAGGCCACATTTCTAGCAAGATCACCACCTAAAACAAATAAAGAGAGTCAAACACTCACCTGCTGACAACAAAGTAGACAGAATCAGGTTTGGCCTGAATTGCGGTTTTCGTAAACCCCAACTTATCTGCAGGCCAGAGCTCATCTCCAAAGAAGCTGCTTGTGTACAGAACTTGATCTCCAGATTTAAGCCCAGCTTTTGCTGCGTTCCCACCTCCTTCCACGCCCTGAAGATGAAATAAAAACCCTCTCAATCATCAACATATGTAGAAGAATGCCACTCCATTTCAGAGGTAGTAAGAAACTCACGGTGATGACAACTCCACCGCCTTGCTTCTGTCCTAGAGTCAGGCCCAAAGGCTTGTCTACTTCAACCTCTATTGTCTTCGAAGCTGCTGTTCTCGCTTTGATTTCGAACATTCTCGACCCATTCAACCCTCCGATCTTTCTCTCCGACACAGCGAAGATCTCTGATACACTCCTCTTCGAATCTTCCAACGAAACTCCCTGAAACCCAGTTTTCTAAAAACAAACGAAAAAAGGATAGAAAAGATTTATACTTTTAGATGAAGCTAAGTCCAAATCACATTCAAGAGGAAAAAAACGAGAAATCAAACTCGACCCTCCACAACAAACAAACTTCTAATTGAGAATTTCAGATTGAAATGAAGAAAGACCTGTGAGAAGAGAGAAGAAGAGGAATGGAGTCTGGGCGATGGGTTTGAAGTTGAAGCGGTTTTGGTGAAGAAGGAAGAGACAGTAGCTCCTGAGATCGCACCAGACGTTGCCATCTCTCTCTATCTCTCTTTCTAATGTGATCGAACGAAGAAGCTTTTGTGATTCTTAAGTCGTGAAGATGTAAAAGTTTGATCTTGCTGCATGCGTTTGTGAGGAAGCAAGAGAGCCTCTTTTCTGTTTTTGTTGAAGTGGAGGTGTCAAAGCCTCCAAGAGATAACCTTTTCGTGGTAATCGCACCATTTTCGTGTGCTATGCACGGTCCACTCTGACCACACTCTTCTCATCTTCCTCAAAAAGAAAATAAAGGATCACATATATATTTTCTCTCTATTCTCTTTGTACATTTTCTATTTTTTTTATTAGTATTTGTAATCCATACACTGTAGATGATAAGTACTTAATAGTAATCCAAAATGTAAGAAAAATCTGAGAAATTGTAGTTTGCTGAATGTGTATCAAACAAAGTATTACGTCTTGAATTCATATTAGTTGATTTAAGTATGCTTGCAGGAATTAACCATTATGAAATCATCCATAAACTTGACAAGATGGGCCTAGTTGTGAAAAGCCCGTCAGAGGTCCATGCCCATGTCCACATACACGTCGCCAGGTTAACGGCGTCGTTTGATTGGTGGTGGTAAATGAGAATTTTAAGAAAGTAACGGAGCACGCACGAATCGTATGGTGTGCTCTTTTGTCTCCTACCACACCTCTGATCTCTTTCACACTAGTATATATATATCATTAAGTGACAACTAGTATGTATAGTCACCAAACTCACCATCCAAAACACCATTTCTCTCTCTCAATCTTTGGTACAGTCAACTAGAGTTGAATGGCAGCCAAATCGACGAGTGTTCAGGTGCTCGGGAAGCACATAGTCAACGGCGTTCGTTCACGCGTTTTCCCACGCGCCGTCGCATCTGGTCTCTTTGCTTCCCGGTACATCTTTCTCTCCATTTTTCTTACATAGTTTTTTTATCGACGATATTTAGGGAAGGAAAATGAAGATGGAGTAGATTTCGTAACATAGTTTGGCTAGATTATTATGTTTATTTTAATTATCGATCCAAATCAAAAACAAAAACTTACTTCCGAAAAATTGATACTCCATGAGTTAAACATTAAAAAACGTCATATGATTTCTTTTTATTTCCCTATTTTTTGCCTAAATGGTGGGGGTTTCGAGATGTTTAATCCAAATGATCATATAATATCTAGCATTTGCTAACTATAAGGTTAAAATACATAAAAAAGATTTTTTTTTATCAAAAGGCTTCTTTATCAGAAAAACCCATTAATATATTCTTTTTAGTTATAAAGTAGATGTATTTCAGTATTTCTTACATAGACACTGTCACACTGCACTGTAGTCGGATAGGGCATATCCAATTGGATAATACCAAGAGGTACAAAACCCGTCTTCCATTCACGATGTGACACGCGTCTTACAATCTTGGAGAGGGCCCTCACTTTTCTTTGCGTTGCCTTGTGAAAAATTAATGTCATAATATAAAAACAAATCGAATAAAACTTATTTGCACCTAACAAAATCGAATAGAACTTGAATTTTTTCACCTAATTATCATCAACTTATCAATCCATTTTTTTGACATCTGTATCTACGACTTCATAGTTTGTATTTATATATAGATCGTGGAAAAGACTGGATGCTATTTACAAATTAAATATAAGCATGAACCATGGTCGACCATATGCATGCCAGTTTCTGAAATTAACGCTATTTTTTATTCACCTAATTTATCTAATATATAGATATATTTTTTGATCAATCTAATATACAGATAAAAAGTGGAAAAACTATTTAAAAAAGAGTGAAAAAGTGAAAAACATTTTTCGGGGCACTAATTAAAAGGCCAAGGGGAATCTAATATTCTTGGTCGAAGGGACCATGTCTGTTCCAACGAGTTAACGTATGTCAGATTATACATCGTAGTGAATGTAGTTGACACATACTAGTAAGTTGTACTAGTACATAATAAAAATAATTTTCTAACTACTAACTTAACGTAGGAATGTTTTAAAAGGCCTCAAGAATACTCCCATCCAGAATTGTTTGTACAAGTTAATGCTTCGATTCGCTATAAACACATTTCATCAAACATCCCTCAAGGAAAAAATTGAATTACAACGTTAAGTCCTTCGATCCTATTCTGAAGCAACAATCACTAATTGTTGATGTAAAACCATGTCTACAATATTACTAACACCTATTCTTGGTAATGTTATCATAGCGGTTCGCACAAAATGTAATAATAGAGGACAGCATGAATGTAGTAAATGTATAATACGTCAGTGGGTAGAAATTATCTCACTGGCTATTTTCGATACCAAATTTTTCATGTGTCTCTTTAATAGTATTTATCTAATATTCATGTAAGAAATGTCATGTGTATCGTATATAAAATTTAAAATTTGGAGTTGAAGATAAATAGTTCTTTAGGGTTGGTAAGTGATAAAAGATGTAGTTGTATGGTGGGGTATACAATCATTTTTCGTATTATATCGATGTGTTTGTTATAGTCAATGTCTCACCTAACGAGCAAAGGAATTCACTATCAAAATTTAACCTCGTAACACTTTGATCCAAAACATAATAAACCAATATTATCGCTAATTCAATAACAAATTATTTGTCCTCTAGAGGTATTGCTAACAGGAATGGTGACACATCGGCTTATGATAAGAACGTAGAGGAAGAATTGCAGTCGAGTAAAGTGCCTGATGAAGTGATAAAGCCTGACTCTGACAAATATTGGTCTCCTCATCCTCAAACCGGTGTATTTGGACCTTCCTCCTCCTCCGCCACCGACACAACCGACGAGAAACGCAGCCAAGATCAGGATTCAGTGATGGAGGAGAAAGCATGGTTTCGTCCAACGAGTCTCGAGGATTTGGACAAGACTCACCATTCGTAGAAAGCAAACTTCTTCCTTTATGTGTGTTTACCGAGTGTTGTAATAAGTTTAAAGTTGAAACTGTTATGCTAACTTCCAACAATAACGAAACAAAACTTTTTGTGTTATGATTTGTGTATGAATGTAAACGCTTGTTTTTATTTTACGCCTCTGAAAATTAATTAATTTAGCTAATCAGGATTCAGGAGGTTCCTTTTCAGGTAGAGAGAAGAGAACAATGAAAACCACACCACAGCAAGCGACTATGTAAGCGTGAGCCCAAACCTTACCCTATAAATGGGCTTTTAATGGGCTTTTTAGCTTATATGGCCCATTGATTAAATTCCTGAAATACTGTAATTTTCTTGTTCCGGTGTCCTTTTTCGGAATATTTCTTCCTTCTTTGTGCAGATACAGTCCCATACAAGTGACAAGCCGGGGAGTGTAAAATAGAAAAAGACAACACATTAAATATTAGTTTTTTTTTTCTCTTCCAGAAATTCAAATTTCAAACCTCCGCTCCAACGTTCGCTTCCAAACTTAGGGATTAGATTCATTGGCTTCTCTTCCCAAGGAGGTATAAATACTCCATATCCTCACACCTTTCTACTCATAGGCAAAAAAACATCTTGTTTTCACTGTCAATCTCTCTCTCCCAACCAAAAACCACACACCAAGAGATTTTCTCTTTCTCTCGATTTCGCGGAGATGGATTTCCACAGCCTTCTCAGAAGAGATCTTCAATTTCTCTGTAAGAGGAACAAAATCCCAGCCAACATGACCAATCTCGCCATGGCCGATGCTCTCAAAGCTCTTGAGATTGTAAGTTTTCTTCATCTATTCGCTCCATTTCATTTGGAAATCCGGAAGAATCTCGTCATCAATATACCTTGAATCTGTAGCTGCCTCAATTTAACGTCAGTAGTATGATTATACGAATCGGAGCATTACTCTTGAGCTGACTGAGATCGCGATTGATCTTTTCGTTTATATCATTTTTGCCTCTTAGATTTTTGTCTCGATATTTCTGGATCTGGGATTTTTTGTCTTCTGCTCAATCACTGCCTTCGTTTACCAGCATCTTCACTCTGATTTGATTGAGATTGTTCGTTCATGATCGATTCATTAAAGACTCAGATGTTTTTAGTTCAATAATGATGGAGATCTGTCGAGTTAATCATCACCGAGGAATTCGTTTTGCTTCTTAGATTTTGTCTCAATGTTTCTGGATCTCAAAATTCCTAGTTCTAGTCGATCACTGCTGTATATTCATCGTTTACCTCCACGTCTGTTGATGCTATGTCTTATAGTTCTAAGCATGGTGAAATTTTTTGATCCTCATACATGTTTACCAATGGCGTTCAAATCTGCTATTATAGATCACTTCTCTGTGAATTCAAGTCTTGAGTTGTCGTATATGTTCGAGTTATCTTGCTCACAGTTTGTTTCTGTGATTCTATTTCCGGTGGAATTCATAGGTTGAAGGTCTTGATGAATACTTGAATCAATCCGACGCCAATGTTCTTCAGTCTCCAACCACTGTAGCGAAGCAGCCGCCAAATATTGCGACTCGAACAACTCGAAGGAAGACTGCAGTAAAAGCTGAAACTCAGTCATCATCACAGCTGGTAAACCGTTCTTGTCATATGACGAGCAAGTCTCTTGCTGGAGAAATGGAGCAGGAAAACATAAACAAGAATGTTGCTCAAGAACCGAAGACTAACAATGTCAAGTTTGAAGCCGGTGTGCCCAAGACTCCTGCTGCACGAAGCACAAGGAAAGCTTCGGCAGCAACTTCTTGTACCAGCAAAGTTGAGGAGAGTAAGAAGGATGAATCGGTCCAGTCGGTGTACAGCACAAGGAGATCAACCAGGCTGTTGGAAAAGTGTATGGCTGATCTGAGTCTGCAGACTGAAGAAGCCTTGGATACCGATAAACCTGAGAAGAATGAAGAAACAGAACAAAAAGTATCCGCACAGGAGAAGAATCCAGCTGGTTAGATACAATGCCTTTTCTCTTTTTTTCAATGCTTGTTCACCATGGTAAATTGGTTGGTCTATAATGCGTCTTAATATGCAGGTTCAGAGGAGACAAGTGAGGAAGCTGAAGTTATCCCAGGTAGAGATTTAAGTGCTTCCATGGAGAAGGAATGGGAGACCTTGAAGAATGACGGTGACCAGGTAGTTGGTGATCTTGAGCTACATCTTGCTCCTGCTGATGTTGCTGTCTCGGAAGCAAACACTGTTGCTCTTGGTGATGTTGCTGTTTCGGAATCAAACACTGAAACCAACAAGGAGAACATGAATGGAAAAATGAGTGATGAAGAAGGTAATGCAAGCATTCATAAACCGTCAATGTTATATGTTAAAGTTCTTGTTTTGCATTTCTAAGTTATGTGGCCTTCTTCTGCAGAATCGGAGAATAGTGTAGTCCAACAAGAAGAAACATTGCAGGCCAATAAAGCTATTTGCGAGGATGGCTTGAAGAAGAATGACAATGATCAGGAGATTGGAGATCTTGAGGTTGATGTTGGTGATATTCCTGTCTTGGAAAATGCAAACGCTGAGACAAACAATGATGATAAAGGTATGCAACAAGTCTAAAAATAACGAGCCCTGATCAATTTTTCTTGTCTACATTTCTGAAGTAAAAGGTCTTTCTTTCGCAGATCTGAAGAACGATCAAGCTTTCCACAGTTTAGTACAAGTGGACCAACAAGAAACAGAACAGGCACTTCAAGAGAATGATGCTGAGCCTGAGAAAATCAACAATTTCGATGAAGAGTCAAATGTGGATTCAACCGATGGTGATTCAGAAACTGAACAGGAAGAAGATGATTCTGGTGTTGACTCAGACGGCACTATCTCTGAAGCTGATTCGAACAAAGCCGTATTGGGATCTGAAACTGCTGATGAAGAGATGATTCTTTCCGAAGAAGAAGACACCGTTGCTGCTCCAACTTCTCCTGCTCCCCTTCTTGAAGAGGCAAAAGTCAACACAACTCCATTCGCAGCAGACTCAATTTCAGTTCAGTTTCCAAGACCGAGCAAACCAACAGCAACTCCATCAAAGAACTCGGGTGTGAAGCTGGTCAATGTCGAGAATAAGAACAAGGAGAACAACATGGAGATGATGATGAATGCTAACAACAATGACAATGGAGAGCGAAAGGGTGAGGATAAGAAAGTGAAGAAGGTGGCAATCGACGAAGAGAGTTTGAAAGATATGAGCATGAGGCAGCTTGAGAAGATGGTGAAGGCTCTTTCCATAAAGAGCAGTAACAACAGAACTGCGTTGCAGATTTTGCCTGGTAATAATCAGATTGCAGAGTAGAGAGTGATTCGAAGAAATTGCCTCCTTTTTCTTGTTGTTGTTGTTGTTGTCGTCGTTGTCTCAGACAAAACAAAAATGTGTTTCCTTATACGGTATGATAACTTTTGGTTTGAAAAAAAGTCTCAATTTAAGGAACAAAATTGGCAGAGATTTTCCATTTCTTATTTTATGTGATTATCAGTCTCAGTTTCGACTGATCCTATTGTTGAAAGCTTTGCTGATTTTAGTGTGGACAATACTTAAATGGACATGATATGTTATATTTGGACTCTTGGTCATGGAGATGATATTTTTCGTAATGAATATGTTTGTAGAATAAGATTGTGATTCGCCTCTCCTTTTCTCGACTAGATTCAACCATTAGTATATGAACCAAATCAAATAACAATCTAACTTTTCCTTAAAACTTATAGATTTAGTGCAACCAAATAAATAAAAATCCATTAATTTCACATTTTAGATTTCTTCGTTTCTCCACGATGGCTACCGAACAAAGCAATGAATCGATGGCGGAACTAGTTGCCAAGATGGATTCTTTGGAAACTAGGGAGGTTGCTGACGCCAAGTCTACGAAAAAGCCAAAGATCGACGACGGGGACAGCGATAGCGATAGCAGCAGCCTCGACAGCTTTGGCAGCGGCGGCACGGATGAGGAGTGGCGTTCGTATGACTGGCCGGAAAAAGAACCAGAGTGGGATGTGGATAGCTACGATGGTCGCGAATTCAAAATCAATCCTCGGATTCGAAAGCTTTACTGCACCCAGGAACGTTATGACGAATACTGCAGCTACAGGCTCAAGGCTTTCAAGAGTAGGGTAATACCTGTTTAATTTGGTAAAAACCTCTTGGCTTACTGATATCAGTTTCTCTTTTACTGCTGCAATAGATTGTAAAAAGCCTCTTGGTTTAAACTTTAAAGTATGAACCCTTTTTTAGTCTTTGTCGTCTACTTTATAGTCAGTAAAAAGATAAATAAATATTTTGGCTGGTGAAGGGTTTTCTTGCTGATCCTACGAACGGAATCTACGACGTTTATCTGGACGCACCACCGAAGGGTGATCACATGAGTCGGGGTTTCTTGGCAGAACTTGCTAATGTCTGTGTTGCAAAATTCAACGAGACTAAGGTTTGTTATCAAGTTGGAAAGATTAACTTTTTACAAGAAGTTGGATATATAAATTTTCGTTTTGGATCATTATTTGGCTTCACAAGGGAAAGACTTTGGAATTGGTAAATGTTGTGAGTGCTACTGAAACTGGAGCAGCTAGATGGAAGTTCTACATCACGTTTATGGCTCGAGAATCTCCTAATGGGCCTCTCGTTGAGTACCAAGCCAAGGTGATCAAATTTTCAGGAGACGTCCGACCTCCTTTCCCGATTCTCTGCAGGCCAAGTCCCGCACCGGCAATTTAAGATGTTTTTTGTTATTTGAGCTGACGCCTATCTCTTAAAAAAATTTTTAACGCAACCAAAAAAACTAAATTGATGGTTTAATATGTTAAAGAAATTGGTTTGAATGTTTAAAATATTAGTTAAAAACTCGAGGTTTAAAGTGTAAATAAATATCACATTAAAAGTTTTTAATGCAATTTTTCCATTTTACTTTTACTAATCTTAGTTGTTTATATAATATCATTTACCGTTGTAATTAAACCGTTATGATAATAAAAAAAATGCTATGATAATAAGTACCATTGTAATTAAATCGCTATTATCAAAAAAAAAAAATTAACCACTTTTTATATATATATTTCTTCTTTTTGTTCTTATTACTCACTTCACCTATATTGAATTAGAATATGTCATTAGTTTATCCTCTAATCATAATCCTCCTATGTTGGTCAATTTCCCAACTGATCACCATGAATTTTGCACATCAAAAAACACTTCACCATCTGCAATCCTGCTGGCTCTAGAACCCTCTAAATTTATTGGAATATCTCCATCACCCAAAATCACAATGTTTACCAATGATTTCAACCAAAAGGAAACAAAAAAAAAAACTCTATATATATGGAGAATCTCAAAACTCAAAGGTGAGAATAGAAAATATTATTAAGAAGAAAAATTACATCTTATCCGAGTATATATGGTTCAATTTATTTTGCTTTTATGGGGGAATATACAGCCAAAACATCCAAACCATCTTGCTGATTAGCCAACTTTTTCTTTGTTGAACTACTTTTGCACATCCAAAACACTTCATTATTTTTAGTCATTCCATATGTTATAATGATTACAATATGTATGTTTATTCAGATTATAATTTCGTTATAAAATTCATTTGTTTTTTTTTAAATTTCTTATATCTTTTACCTATTTATTTTTCATTTTTTATTATTATTTATGCTTACATTTGCTCATTTTACATTTATAATTTGCTACTTTTTTCTTTTTACAGTTATTCATTTTCATTTATATATTTATGATTAAAATTTTTATTTTTGTTTATTATTTTTTTTACAGTTCACCAACTTGTTATGCTTTCTTTAAGCTGCAGCATCTAGTTTATGTTGGTTTAGTCTCTTTTGTCCACTTCCCACGCCAATACCACCGATTTCACTGTCGTCTTCCATTTATTATGTTGAATTTAGAAACATTGATATAAATCAACAGTAACTTAACAATACAAACAGAGAAAAATTATATAAATAGAACATATAAACAGATATAAATTTGATTATAGTATCTACAAGGATGTAAGATTCAATTTCGTTAGATTCAATAATAAAATTAGAATTTCAGTTTACTAGATATTTAATTTTGGTTGAAAACTCATTTTGCTTTCTCCTCATGAATGATATTCAAAACCAAATATTCATAAAAGAGTAGATCCATATATAATATATTATATATCCCTGTTTTAATTTCATCAGATTTAGATGAATCAAAACCTCCATTTAAAGTCCAGAATAATAAAAAAAAAATGAAAAGGCAAAAACACAGGAAAATTGAGAACCGAGGGGATCTGCTATCTCTGATCAAACACCCAATTTAGGAGAGGACAAGAGAAATAGAGAGACTTTTTCATGTTTAGGAGAAGAACAAGAAAGTGATAGTGAATGAGGGATAGAGCATCGTTAATGGAGAATCCATAAGAAGTTCTTTAACTAGAAAAAAAAATGAGGTGGTAAATCATTTCTTTTTATGTTTAAGAACCCCAATATAAAACTATCTGCCTTCCAAAGTTCTATGAAAATTTCTCAGCAAATAATAAAATATAAAAAATAGTAAAATAATATATATTTTTAAAAAAAATTAAGAGATTTTCTCTAGAGTCTTTTTTTTATAAACTCATCTATTATTTTATAATTAAAACTTATGTCTATTTAATATAATAATATTATATATTATTTTATATTTATTGAGAAAATTTTTTAAAAGCTATGGTTGCAGATGCTGTAAAAGCACCAGTATTGGTGGGCCGGAGAAGAGAAATTCTTGAAAAAAATTGATTTTCAAAAAAAAAGTGATGAATTATGTATCGCATGAGAGACGATTTTACAGCCTCTGCGCATAAAATTGATTCTGTGAGTCTCGCCACATCATTTTTTCTAATTTTTTTTATTTTTTATTTTTCGAACCTTTGTGCGGCTCACCAATACTGATGCAGTGGTGCTCTAAGATTCTCCAACACGCTTATAAACCGAAATGTATTTCTCTCTCTTCACATATATAATGTATTATGTATTCCTGTTTTATTTATGAGAACCACGTATTTTTTTTTGAAAAAAGAAAGTAATCAATATATAAAAATAATTAACCAATCATAAATCGTATTTAACAAACATAAATATGATTCTTTTGCAAAAAAAAAAAACATAAATATGCTACTATCTAACGTTATATTTCGTAGTGTACAAGTTGTGTATACGCAAAAAGACGTACGGATTACTGCATGGAAAGGAACAAAAAAAGAAAGGGCAGGGGACTGACTATCTAGACTCGAGTGGGGACTGACTACCTTGGTATAAATCTATCACATTGTTCTTAGATTATAATTGTCAAATTCGAAACTATAATTTGTCTCAATGAAAATAATGTGAACATATTAAAATTTTAATAAAAAAGACAAAAAAAGTAGGGTTTTTTTGGTCTACCGAAAATATAATCACAACGGATTCATTGACAAATTTCGATTAATTTATCATGAAATTTTATTGTTTAAGATATAAGGTGCAATAACACTCAGCTGATCAGGTTTTGTGTTTTGTTTGACAAAGGCTGGTTGGTAACAGACGTATGTATATGGCTCACAAGTGACAACAATTTCCAATGGAAAATTATTTGGTTTCTTAGATTCTTGTGTTTCAAGTTTTGCGACTCAGCTCCACATTTCTAATGTTGGTTCCGGATATTCCGATGGATTTATCATGACATTCCTTCTTGTTGGTGCTTTTCGTTATATCTTTTTGCATATGCTCTCTCTGGTGTTACGGGTCTCCTTAATTTGAGTAGTTTCTCATTTCATAGTACCACATTCCTCTGCTAAACCAGATTTGATCTCTCTTTTGCAGTGGAGCTCGTGGGATTTTTGTTTTGAATTTTTTGACTTTTCTACAAAAATTGCATATTGTGTGGAAGAATGTATATTCTAAACTATATATGATAATAATATAGTACTAGCATATTTCAATAAATAAGTTTGATACAGTGTAGTTAGTTCCCTTCATGATAAAGAAGGAAAGAAAAGCTGTGCAAATTAAAGAAACGGCAAAAGCAAGCAGAAAGTCAATAAAATGCGTACACCATCAGGGCCTCTTATCGGTTTGGGCTCTGTGGCCCAAATCATCGGGTTAGAATGGCATGTCTGTAAATACACCCAACGAGTGTCATTTAATATGTCATCTTCCGCCTCGTCTACAAGGGAAGAAGCCCCAAATCAACTTTTTCGATTCTCCGGCGACGATGACTACCACTCAAAGCAGCGATGGGACGTCGAAACGAGCTTTGACAGAGGAGGAATCTGGCTATTCTTCCGAGAAGAAACCCAGAGTGGAAGGTGAAGACGACACAGGCATGGGAGACGAAAGCGAAAGCGATAGCGAAAGCGCAAGCGACGAATGGGAAGTCGACGAAGAAGTCTTTGCCAAAGGACGCGTCGAACCCGGAAGTGTGTTAGACCGGGAAGAAACGGAACCGGAGTGGGATGTGGACAGCTACGGTGAATACGTATCCGATCCTGAGGTCCGTGCACTCTTCAGCTCCGATGAGGAATACAAGAAATTCCGCGATCGTAAGATCGAGGTAGTGAAGAATAAGGTATCGGAGACCCATTGTTAACAAATGAAAAACATCAATTTCTTCTGTTGATTTGAATTTTTTTATCTGATCGTATTTTTTTAATTCTAGGGTTTTTTACCAGATCCGATAAAGTGGATCTTCGCCCTTCCAAATCTGGAAGAACCTTGGGGAAACCAGACTACGAGGGAAGTCTTGAAGGATATTGCATCCTTGTGTGTTAAGAAATACAACGAGGAGAAGGTCTGTATTGATCAGCTTTCATTCAAATAGGATCTTTTTGTTATAAATCAATTCCAAAGAAATATGATGTGAATCTCACACAGATAATCTCTGTATGGTTGTGTACGTAGAAGAAGACTGTGGAAGTTGTAAGTGTTGTGAGGGCCAATGAAAGATCAGGAGGCAGGACAAAGCTTTACATCACATTTATGGCTCGGGAGTATCCGAATGGGCCTCTCCTCGAGTATCAAGCCAAGGCCATGATTTTCCTTGGAGGAGCAAAACCTCCCTTTCCTATTCTCTGCAGGCCTGCCCCAAACCACTCTTCATCTTAGACTTGAGGTATATCTATGTTTATTTTATATTTCTGAATCAGTTTTATCTAATAATTTTTATGGATTTTTCTGAATTTCTAGTATCTTCAGTCAGATATTAATTGCAGATTGGGTACGTTGACGCTGGTGTAGTGGAAGATCAAGATCAAGCGGAGTCTTTCTACTTATAATAATTAAAGCTGCTTTTGATGTGTTTGTAAAACTTTGAGACATGGTTCTATTTTTTTAAGTTGAACGGTTTTTCATTATGGAGTTTAATAATGGTTTATGTTTAATATTTATTAATATTTGGGTTTTTATACTGTGAAGATAAAATTGGGTATTTTAATGGTAAGTAAATCTTCTTCACTCGTGCATTGAGTGGAGATGTTTACACTGTCAGATGATATTTATATATGGGTTGTCATAAACTAGATGAACAGACCTCATATGATATTGTAATTGCGGAATATTATTGTAGGAGTTGACAACTCTGGCAATTATCTAATAAAAATGAACTCATAAGATATATAGTAGGAGTTCTTCGGTTTTAGGCTTTTAGCTTTCCATTTATGTAATTTTTTTTTTTTGGGGGGGGGGGGGGTTGAATTTATACCATTTATGTAATTTGTTTTCACTTTTTCATTTGATAAGTTCTCGTTTCCATGTTCTTGGGGCTGCATCCCTGGAAGATTAGATTTTCCTGTAAAATTTTCAGAATCTGTTTTCGGTTTGATTCGGCTCTGTGTTCTGTTTTGTAGATTTTCAGTATTCAGTATAAAAATCCAGTGAAACATAAAAACGCATATAAAATAGCTCGTTGATTAGTAATTTTGATGATAATCGTGATTGGCATTTCGAATTTCAATTCAATGATCCCGACTCTAGACAACTTTCTAAGCAATCATGTTCCAAATCTAAAATAGACGAGACGATGGGAGATCCGATTTGGTTAATGTGTGAGGTTTTCTCTCTTTCTTTTCCGTAATTTATATCTTTAGATCATTTCTTCGTGAGTATTCTTTTACAGCTTGGGAAAAAATCTTGTACCAATCAAATTAATTAGAAAACAGCAAGGTGTGACGCAGCTTTAACATACGTGTCGTTTAAGTTTTAATAAACCCAAATCGACAAAGTTTGACGTTACGATATTATAACATTCGGTGTTTACGCCGAGAACTAGAATAATGTATATATATATATATATATATATATATTGTTACATTCTAATTTCTATTTGGTTGGATGCTTAGTTTGTAGTTTGCGGATATATGAGGAATATTTTATATTTTAACTTAATTAAAAAACGAAATAACTTTTTCATACGCATGACAATAAATTTAGCCGAAATAAAACCTGTGTTTAACTTAGTCAAAATAATATATCATGCATAAACTTAGCCGAAATGAAGATGCGTGACAATACGAAGATTCATTTACACAGCCACCTTCGACTTCTATTTCTTTTTCTTGTCTTTCTTACTCACTTCATGTAGGTAAACAATGTCATCTGTAGTGCCACTAATGATGATCCTTCCATGCCCGTCAACTCCCCAAGTGGTCCCCCAGGAGTTTTGAATATCAAAAAAGATCTCTCCACTGTTAGTCCTTCCATGCGCCACTATTGTTACCATATGTCTTCCTACACCATCTACAGGTTTAGGCACCCTGTATATTCCCTGCAAAGGTTTGGAATAAATTTAAGATATGTTGGTTTGTTGCTAAGTTCATATAGAGTATATTAGATATCTAAGTTAATATCTTGACTTACCTCCTTAAGTTCAGTAAGAGGACGAGTAATATCCAGAATCAGACCAACAGGGCCCTTATTCTCCAACAATTGTACAATATCTTCAGGAGTTGCCATGTGTTTACGAGCAAACAGACCTTTTATGTGAAAGTTCTTACCCTGGTTTTACAAAACAAGAAGACATAAACAAATCAGTAAAGACTTTACCCATAAATATATAAAAATTTTAAGTATTATGCCAATGAATATTTTACCTCCTTCTTCCTTTTGGTCATACTACCCTCATTCCCTTTCGCAATTCCAACCACAGAAACATGCTTAATAACTTTATTGATACTTTTTATAGCTAAATCTTTAGGATCAAGCTTCTCATTATCAAACCTTTCCTTCTCTGTTAACTTAAACTGCTCAATGAAACTATCGATATTCAACTCTTTATGTTGATTAGTCTGTGCACGATCCTTGTTGTAACCAAACTGAAGAATGGTAGCGAGGACCAAAGCCCAACAAATATCTGAAATTTAAGTAAAATCATAGAAATTAAAAAAATCTCAAAACCATCAGAGCACAATACAGTTCAGAATGGCATAACTAATTAGTTACACAGCATAAAATTAATGGAGATTATTACCCCTGGTTTGCTCATAAATTTTAGAGAGTAATGCTGCGTGTGTGCGAGACCAATCAAAGCGGAGTTTGCTCCCATCCGGAAAAGACTAACAAATGGGTAAGGGTTAGAGTTTTTCGTTTTCTAAAGCAATGAACCTCCACAACTAGAATCAAAAACGGAATCAAAAACCGTACCCGTAGTGGTCGAGCTACAGGAACTTCTGGGGGACGATCTTGTTGAGCTTTCAGTAGAGCTTCCCGCGTTTGTTTTATTTCATTGGGCCCCTTGTTTTTCCCACCTCCGGCGCCGATGTTGCCAGCTCCGGTGACGCCGATGTTGCCAGCTCCGGCGACGCCGATGTTGCCAGATCCTCCGGTGACGCCGATGTTGCCAGATCCTTCGGTGACGCCGATGTTGCCAGATCCTCCGGTGACGCCGCCGATGTTGCCAGATCCTCCGGTGCTTTCTCCGCTATTCATTTGCCTTAAACACACAAGAAAACGTACTATATTATCAATAAATATACACCCAGATTTTTCTAAGAACGGAGAGGAAGAAACAATGCAAAGGAAGAAATGTAACAAAGCAAAAGTAGAAAAACACGAAACAACACCAAGGATTTAAACATACTATACTATTAATAATGATACACCCAACTTTTTCTATGAACGCAAACGAGAAAACAGTGCAAAAGAAGAAGACGAAACAAAGCAAAAGAAGAAGGCGAAAAAGATCCAGGGATGACATACGAAACACGAAGGATTTAAACAAAAACAGTCAAAAATCTTGGAAACTCAAAATTACAAGCTAGCTAGCTACTTTATTTCAGAAATTTCGAAGTATGGTATAAACCCAGGTTTTTGAAGAACGAGAAACCAAGTCGAAAATGGTGCTGAGAGGAGAAGTGAGTGAAAAGACTTAGATCCAGAATTACGAAGAACTGAGAAACCCAGATTTCTAAAAAACAAAAAGAAGAGATTGGGGAGAGAACCTTCGAAGTTAGAGCCCTAACTTTTTCACGAAATGACAATCCCAGATTTACTTTTTTTTAATAGAGAGAGTGTAAAAGTGTGTGAGGGACTGAGGGGAGAGACTAGAGATATTCACGAACGAACGTGAAATTTCTCTCTCTCTCGTTTTCTAAATTGAAGGAAAATTTTGGTTTTGTGTATATATTACATATATGTATAGTTTTTAATTGCACATTTTGCATTTCATTTTATATTTATATATGGTTATATTTTTTTGTTAAAATTTTATATCGTTATAATATTCTAACAAATAAAGAAACGTGTTATTTTTAGATCCAAAAAAAAATATAGAGCTCATTTAAACGTTTGAAAACATATAAAGTTAAAACCCTTTCGCAAAATCATAAAAACTTTGGGTGATTTATTAAAAAATCATAAAATATTGGGACCAACGGCGATGAAATGACGGAACAAAAATGACGTCAGATTTCTTGGAGAGGAAGTTGTATCTTGAATGCGACAGGAGAGAGAAAGAGAGGATAATGATGAACTCTAAACTGAAAAAAAAACCATCTTCATTCTACATAACTCCAAATATACAAACTTTTTTTTGACGACAAACTTTCCAATTCAAAAATCAACAACGAGACTGAAAAAAACAATAGAATCATAGTAACAAACCTTCTTTTTTTTTGGTGAGTAGTAACAAAGCCGTTTTATACCGTTAATTTCAACACCGTCACCCATCAGTTAAAAAATTAAAGCCCTAGAAGAATTATTTTTATTGCATTTCAGTTATTACATCTTATTATGTTTGTAAATTGAGTTTTTCTCTGCTAGCATGCAAAACATGAAAATCTCTAAGTAGTATTCTTAGTATAATCTGTAGATATTTTCCGAAATTTTTAGCTTTGCTATAAAACTACTAGTATCCGAGATTTGATTATTGTTGTTGGCTGTCGCTTCTTTGTGGCGGATGTTGTTGATTCATAAAAATTTTCATATATTATCATTAATTTCCGTAACAAAAAGACAAAAAGAAAAATGCAGAATGCAGGAGGGCGATGGTACAACTGTACAAGGCTACAAGCACACACACACATATAAATACATATAATTTACACACGAATAAAAGTAGAGTTTTCATAAAACTGATTCATTTAAAGAGAAGCATACGGTAAAAAAAAGGATGTCCTTATATAAAAGTGAAAGAATAAGCCAAGCTCAAATATTCGAAATCCCCTCCACTCCCAGACAAAGATAACGTTTCCACATTGATTGCTTGAAAAACTTGAATGCATCTTGATTCTTGAATATGAAGTATAGATAACAACTTTGTTTCCTTTTTTTGTTATGTATTCTGGTAACTCGAGTTTGTGAATCCAGCTAGATTAATGTTAATTGACATCAATGATATTTTCACTATAGTAGAAGAGATTTGTGTTTTTGTGGATTTTTTTGGTGTATATGGTTGATGCTCTACATCAAAGAGGAAAAAAGTTATATAACGTAAGTGTGAAAGATGGTACCTAGACCATAACATATCTCTTTATCAAATTGTAAGAACACAGGTTTTAAATTGTCAACTCATTATCTAAACATTTTCTAGTTATAATGCAAATACATTTTTCAAATGAATTTGCCTAAGCAATCGGAGAAGCGCTTTGATAAACAGATTTGATTTTGACTGACTCTGAGGGGTCAAACCATGATTTTACCTATCAATCATCATTAATTTTTCTGTAACAAAAAGACAAAAAGAAACGCAGAAGTCAGGCGGCGATGGTACAAGCACTCACGCATAACATATGTATCACACACACGTCAAATTTGACTGAACCCTCAAGACCTTCCTCATAAAAGTGAAAGAACAAGCCTCGAGATTAAAATTATTCGAAACCTTTAAACTCCCTCCTCCCCCCCCCAAAAAAAATCGAACCCCTATTTCGTAACCTTAAATAATTTTAACATTAAAACCAAAAAAAAAAACCTTAAATGATTTTTGCTTAAGTAGTTAAATGATTGAAAATGATTTTTTGCTTAAGTAATGATCTTTCGGAATATTTAATCCTTTTAATCAAATAATCAATTGCAGGTTGGAACTGTTGAAGCTGATCTAGCGGAAGAAGTAGAACCAAGATCAACATGTATGGGAATGAAGTTTTGCCCCATGATGGCCCGTTCTCAAAAAGAAAAAAGTTTTGTCCCAAGTTTCAAAGCCGCTACTTGTCTTGCGTGTCTAGTAGATATACGTTGGCCTGTAAAAGAAAATCATTACATGAGGTTGGGAAAGTAATACTTGTCAAAAGTTAAACTGTAAAAGAAATTTATTACATGATGGACACAAAGAAATTATCTTTACAGAATTGGATAAAAATAAGCTGCAAGACCAGATTATACTCCAGCAATATGTTACGATCGATGATAATCCGTATACCATTTGTGATATTCGTATTCACAAAATGGAGTTTGGCTGCGGTTTCATAGAGTTTGAAGTGATGAATGATGACCAATGTCTCCTTTTGTTACCATCGATCAACCTTTGAAATGCGTAATATAAGTATTCGTTTTTGAGGTCAGCATATAGAGTCAAACTCAGTATTATCTGTTAAATGTCTTGCAGAACTAGTTATAATTAATGTTACTTACGCTAGTGAATCCGAGCATGTGTCACGTTGAATTAAATAATAGTATTGACCGAATATTACACTCCAAGTCCGAATATATGAATTTCAGTGTCAAATTCAAAACTATACTGTAATATTTTTCTGTGAGAATATAAAGTGTCAAATTCAAAACTTGTGATATTTTTCTGTGAGAATATGTGTCAAATTCAAAACTATACTTTAAAATTGTAGTTACCTATATCAATTAATTCACCTGTAACAAAAAGACAAAAACAAAGCGGGAGGCAGCGGCGATGGTACAAGCGCACACACACGCATATATGTATTACACGCGTCTGTTCAGGGGATAAAAGTAGGGGTTTTTTATGGTACAGGGTGGGACCTAAATATATGCTTAATTTGTTTTTTCTTTCTTTCATATATACAGTATTGTCAATTTCATTAGATCTCGTGGGAATTTTGATTTTACTTTTCAACGTTTCTACATAAATTGCATATTGTGTTGACGCTAAGCTAGTGACGGCTAAGATGCACTGAAGTTATAAGTTCTCTTTGTGTTTAAGCTATAAGTTAGTCTTGGAATCAAAGCTATAAGTTATTCTGAATTAATAACTATCCTTGTAGCTCTAGGTGGAGTCTTTCTTTTTCCACAAATTTATGTCTTTCATTTTTCTATATCGGTTTCCAAACCTAAAGTTTTGATGTATATCACTAATTATAACTATTAAAAAACCGATAACTGAAAGTGGGAGAACGTATTATAATTGTTATATTTCAATAGAAATGAGTACATTTCAATAATGATATCACTTCATAACTATATGATAATTTCAGTAAACGTATTTTTGACATGTCTGTAAATACATACAACGAGTAATCATTTAATATGTCATATTCCGCTTCGTCTACTAGGAATCCCCCAAATCAAATTTCAAGGGTTTCGATTCTCCGGCAACGATGACGTCGAAACGAGCTTTGACAGAGGAGGAATCTGGCTATTCTTCCGAGAAGAAACCCAGAGTGGAAGGTGAAGACGACACAGGCATGGGAGACGAAAGCGAAAGCGATAGCGAAAGCGCAAGCGACGAATGGGAAGTCGACGAAGAAGTCTTTGCCAAAGGACGCGTCGAACCCGGAAGTGTGTTAGACCGGGAAGAAACGGAACCGGAGTGGGATGTGGACAGCTACGGTGAATACGTATCCGATCCTGAGGTCCGTGCACTCTTCAGCTCCGATGAGGAATACAAGAAATTCCGCGATCGTAAGATCGAGGTAGTGAAGAATAAGGTATCGGAAACCCTTTTGTTAACAAATGAAAAACATCAATTTCTTCTGTTGATTTGATTTTTTTTTTTTAATCTGATCGTATTTTTTAAATTCTAGGGTTTTTTACCAGATCCGATAAAGTGGATCTTCGCCCTTCCAAATCTGGAAGAACCTTGGGGAAACCAGACTACGAGGGAAGTCTTGAAGGATATTGCATCCTTGTGTGTTAAGAAATACAACGAGGAGAAGGTCTGTATTGATCAGCTTTCTTTCAAATAGGATCTTTTTTGTAAATTAATTTCAAAGAAATATTAGAGATTGATGTGAATCTCACACAGATAATCTGTATGGTTGTGTTACACACAACTTGTGTACGTAGGGGAAGAGTGTGGAAGTCGTAAGTGTTGTGAGAGCCAATGAAAGATCAGGAGGCAGGACAAAGCTTTACATCACGTTTATGGCTCGGGAGTATCCGAATGGGCCTCTCCTCGAGTATCAAGCCAAGGCTATGATTTTCGCTGGAGGAGCAAAACCTCCCTTCCCTATTCTCTGCAGGCCTGCCCCAAACCACTCTTCACCTTAAGACTTACTTAGGTATACCCATGTTTCATGTTTGTTTTATTTGATTGCTTGAAAAGCTTCAACTCTATCTGGAATACGACGTAGAAGTAACGATTATGTTTCCTTTCTTTTGTTATGTATATTCTAGCTTGTGAAATCAGCTAGAATGTTAATTGACATCAAACCGAATGTTGTACATAAACTAACAAAGGAATTATGAAATGGATTGTCAACTGTTAAATTACACACAGAGTTTGTGTCAAAGGGAATTTTGCTTTTATCCCTTTAATTTATGATATACGTATCATGATCAGGATTGTCCCAAAGTTATATGTGCTCTAAATCAAAGAGTTAAAATGTTATATAACGTAAACTGTGAAAGATGGTAAATTATGGGCTACCTGACCATAAAAAAAAAATTATTACATGAAAGTAATACTTGTCAAAAGTTAGCCCGGAGATTGGCAGCGATTTCATAAAGTTTGAAAGTGATGAGATGATGATCAATGTCTCCTTTTGTTACCATCGATCGACCTTGTCAAGTGCTGTTGTTGTTTTTTGGGTCAGCAAAAATAATAGTTCAATTTTTTTTGCAGAGATAGTAATAATACTTACGCTAGTGAATCCGAGCATGTGTCACGTTTGAATTCAATAATAGTATTGACCGAATATTACACTCATAACGTATATAATAACTTTCCTCAGAGCTGAAAAGAAATGCTCGCCGGGTCGGGTCGGGTCTGTTCGGAATGGTTTGAGTCGGGTCGGGTCACATAATGAGCAAAATTGAATAATCTCGTCTTTTTTGTTTTCCGAGTTTTTTCATCTGGAGTGAGCCCAGGATTCTAGGGTTATTCGAAGAAGGCCGGAGATTGCTCGTACAGTTCTGCGATTTCAAATGGAGAATCCATCAGCGGATCATCAAACTCCTGTTACTCCCTCCATTTCTCCTCCCATTGACGGCCAACTTCGCCACGATCACGCCGTCGTTACCCAAGTTCCCGAGCATCAGCATCCGTAAGTTTACTTTCCTCTAATTCCACTGCTCTTGCTTGCTTGTGCGCTTGGAATCTCTTTGCGATTCTCGCTTTTAGCTAAAATCCTTACGAGTTATCGCTTCCTCGTTTAAAAATTTGTTGATAGTTCATATATAGTGTACTTCGATTCCTCGTATTTCCGTAGGGCCTTTTGAGGTGGTAACTGATTCGCTTTCAATTGGAGAATTATTTGGTTTCTTAGATTTTGTGTTTCAAATTTTGCGACTCAGCTCCTCATTTCTGATGTTGGTTCCGGATATTCCGATGGATTTTATCATGACATTGTTAAGTTTAGGATAATGCAACAATACCTTCTTATTGGTGGTTCTCGTTCTATCTTTTTGCATATGTTGAGGTGTTAAGGGTCTCCTTAATTTGATTAGTTTCTCGTTTCATAGTACCACATTCCTCTGCTTAAACAGATTTGATATTTCTTTTGCAGTGGAGCTGAGCAGCAAACAGAAACGTCTGAGGAAGAAATGAAGAGCACATTAGAAGCAATAGCATCTACCGGGAAGTTCTGGTACTGCCACTTTCTCCAGATTGCTGTGGTATCCATTTTTTTGGTTATGATTTTTTAACCTGCCATCACGTCTGATCCTTACCCTTTGTTCATTGTTGATTGATGATTAGTTTCCTTTTTGAGTAAAACTGGGATTTAGGTTTTTTCATTTCTGTGTTGCTATATCTAGATGACTACTTATCTTACCTTGTAATACTACAGGCAGGACTGGGAGAAACTAAAAGTATCACTATCGTGTTGGTTGAAGAAGGTATGTACAGGTATACCGGCACTGTGCTTATTATACATATTATCAATCCACATCCGTCACAGTTATTTCATGATCTAACTATCTATAATCTATATGGTGTGTTGTAAAGGTTCTGTCAGAATATCCTGAGGCAAAAATGACTGACGAACAACAAAAGGAAGCCCTAGGAGAAACGTACTCAGCGTTGGTTAGTCGATTGGATGAAGGTCTATATCTCTACTCATTTGTTAGTTTTGCTACTTCGATTGCAAAAAGTGTCATGTAGATGAGAATTTGAAACTCTGAGAAGAGGTTTGGCTTAGTGGTCTAATCAACGGTATATTATCGCGTTAATCATTAGATATCTCTTTTTTTAATAGACTAGCTATAACTCATGACATTCTCTTTTCCTAAAAATTGCAAGCAAAAAATCTCTCGATGTGAATTTTCATGAAAGTAACCCATGTAAATGAAATGAAATTGCTTGTTATGGTACGGTGTGGGAAACATGATGAGAACTGTTTTATGCTTTTCTGACCTTTTACGGTTTTATTTATGCTTTTACAACACTGTGTGTTCTTTTTTATTCAGGGACCTTTTGTTTCGCCGTTTGAAGTGTGTCTAATTGGGTTTCTTTTGTTCTTGTCTTGTTTTGCAGCCCTTCTTAGTTTCGATGAAGGCCCTCCATTTACACTGCAGAGACTCTGTGAGGTAAGTAGATGTGTGTGGTGGTCATGATTTACTTCAATCTCAGAGGTATCATGTTCTTATTAGCTCGCCATGATTTACTGAAAAAACTCACTTGCGTGGTAGTGTAAGAGGCTAAGAATCATTTGACTCTGTAGATGTGTGTGGTGGTCATGATATACTTCAATCTCAGAGATATCATGTTCTTATTAGCTCGCCATGATTTACTAAAAAACTCACTTGCGTGGTAGTGTAAGAGGCTAAGAATCATTTGACTCTGTACTTTGTCTTATAAAAACTCCTCTCTCTTATCTGTCTAGGTTTATAATTGTTGAAATTCTGTTGACATCATAACCACAAAGCTTTCTGATTTGTCTGTGTTCAACAGATCCTTTTGGCTGCAAGGACCATCTACCCAAAGCTCTCAAAACTCGCTCTTGCATTAGAAAAGGCACGGATTTGAAATCCTTACCCGTGTGATTATATAGTTGTCTTACACATTCACTGATTTACTGAAATAAGTTTCAATTCCTTGCAGAATCTGTTGGTTACTTCTATGCTATCCAGCAGTTTGGACCCGCAATCACAAACCACTGAGGATGCAAACGCAGCAGCAACCGAAGACGCAAAAACGGCTGCAGCAAATTGGGCACCAAATGGGATTGAAGTAATGGGAGGCGATAAGGATGAGATAATGACAGAGGTAGAAGAGGCAGATGTTGATGACGCAATGACTATTGACATGGAAACAATCGATGAACCATCAGAGACAACGACACCAACGATGGCGAGTGAGGAGAGTGAGACACCAAACGAAATCAGTTAAGTATCTGATTTTGTTGCTACTGTATACTTTCTTCTATTCTTTTCATCATTACTTGGACATGCTTTGTTTATCAACTTGAGCTGTCAACTTTCTTCTTTAGCTACTGCAAAACCATCATCGGATCCAATGGCTGCAGAGGAGGGAGATTCGCCGTTGCCTTGAACCATATGCATCAAGAGACGGAATTTGTAAATGATCAGCTTTGAAAACTGATCTCGAATATAATGTTTGTTCTACGGGAAGAGATGTTTTGGGATCTTGATCTTTTCACTACATTAACAGAGATGTTTGTGTTTCGGTGGATTTTGTGGTGTACAAGGTTGATGTTCGAAAACAATATTCTGCATAACATGATGCCAATTATAAAAAATGAATTTCCTGTAAATCCACCAAAGATTATGAGAAAAAAATATATATATCGGAAAACTTATATCAGTCATAAAATAGACAAAAAATCATGATTTGAAAAGGATGTATTATCTACCAAGTTACAATCGGACAAAGATGACCCGAAAAGGGTAAGGTTTATAGATGAAACAATTTTCATCAGCAGGCAGAATATACACTGAAAACTCTCATGGCAGCTTGATCCAAAATCCAAAAGTAGCCTAGTTGAGTCTATAATATTGCCACCGTGAGAAGATAATTCTTTCCTTAACAAAAGTATATAGAGATTCTGGATTCGTGGTTGCTGTTTCAATACCTGCAAGGAGAAAAGACATTTTTCAAGATCAAGGTCATGAGACTCGAGAGTTATTGTGCTGATTAGCTTGGCGGGTTCTCGGGTCTTTATATTTACCTGAAAGAGTTAAAACGAAGGTCCAACGGAGGTGAAACCAGCGGCTTTGACATCTTTAAGCGTAGATGATAACCAGTCCAAGCCTTCATAAAGCCCGTCTCCACGCAGAGCACACGTCCCTTGTATGTGCCATTTCCTGTTCTTGAGATCAAATAAGCCTAACCCTTCACATACTTCTCTCGGTGACATGGCTCCTTTCTGATTTTCGGTTAATGGAAATGGAGTGAGTAACAACAATCATAGACAATAAACAGGCCAGAGAAAGAAAGAAAAAAACAAGACTAAAGCTCGATGTTACCATGTCTTGTTTGTTTGCAAACACCAGAATGATACTGTTGAGCATGAATGGGTCTTTTATGATCTCCTGAGAAAAGCAGAGAGCAGGTTTAGGAACTATCCAGAGAGTATATACGTACTGTCATCTGCAAATTTCAAGATAAAAAAACCTGAAATTCTTGCTTTGCTTTCCCAATCCTCTCTCGGTCCAAAGAGTCAACAACGTATATCTACAAGCGCATGTTAAGAGTACACTTTATACGATAATCAATAAAGATGGACAAAGATCTAAACATATGCCAACATAGAAAGTTATATATCCGACTGAAAGCACAAAGATAGAGGAGAATGTATAAATACGTACAAGTCCATCAGTATTATTGAAGTAATGTCTCCAAAGAGGTCTCAGTTTCTCTTGGCCACCAACATCCCAAACTGTGAACATCACATTCTTGTACTGAACTTTCTCAACATTGAATCCTGCGTAACAACGTTTAAGAAGACTGTCCACAAACATATTCCAAGCAACCAAAGCGAAAATGACCATAAAAAAAAAGTATACACTCAGAGGACCTACCAATGGTGGGAACAGTTGACAAAACTTCTCCTATGTGAAGTTTGTAGAGAATAGTTGTCTTGCCAGCAGCATCAAGCCCCAGCATTACGACCTGGCATTGACATCATCGACACAAACAAAAACTCGATTCAAAAACATTTCTTTATTTCTTTTCATCATGCCACAGCTTACAACATTTATATGATTAGTAAGAGGGGAGAATCAACCATCAATTTGTTCATTAGGAATCACATCAAAAAGTAATATTGGGGTCTACAAGATTTTAAGCATACAGGACAAAAGGAAAAAGCCAGACAACACAAGGATATAAACTAAATTCAACACATCGAAACGAGGCACGGACGATAAAAGCTATGACTAAAACCCAACAGATCAACGATAGATAACACGAGATCCCGTCAAAAACAAAAACCCAGGAAATGATCAAGATGTTCCACAAAATAAGAAAATAGTTGAAATCTGAGAGATGATGACTAGTTACCCTCATTTCCTGATTGCCGAAGAAAGTATCGAATAGCTTACGAAAAGCTTGACCCATCGCTCCGAAACCGAAAAAAAAAAACTCTATGAAATTAGTTTTTCCTTATATTCGAGACAGGCAGAATGAGAAATCGCGGAGAAAATCGAAGATCGATTTGGAGAAGGAGACGGTGAAGAAATTTCAGAGAGATTCAAGGGAATAATTGCGCGTTCGGTCCAAAGGAATTCAGGAGGAAAGTCTTCAACACAGAATATTCATATTCCATTTTTCAAATTGTTTATTACAGTCTCCCCTCATTTTTACGGAATATAATATTAACATGTAATGTAAATTTCACATTCATAATCGACTTCACGGCCCAAACTCTAAAGGGTTTACTTCTTAATATTTATATGGGCTGATTGGCTCGTTCATATAAACTTCCCCTTAATTTTTTCTTAGTACTCTCCAAAGGTTTTACTTCATAACGCTAAATTAATTACACAATATAATGAAGATCAATACAGAGAGGACTAAGTACTCTAAGATGATTATGAGACGATTACGAATTTACGAGTGTCATAAATATAAAATGTTCATTTGTGTTTGTCATATTTTCGATCAAGAATATGGCAAAACGTAATACGTAATAATATGATGGATTAAATTGTTATAATTTAGTTTGGCTTTCCGAAAAATGATGAAGTTTGGTTTTGGGTTTTCATTGTTCACCGAACTCACATACGTACGAGAAGTTCCATGAACCACGAATTTTACCTACCAAAACAATTTTGTTTTTTTTTAATTATTATTTTATTATATGGGGGCCATACCAAAACAATAGGAGTATACTATTATTACTTTAGCAAGAAAACAGTAACGTTTTGTCCATTTATATAACTGAAGATTAACTACGTAATACGTATTACACAAACCCCATGCTAATCAAAGTCAAAACATGAAATGATAATTAATTTTTGGCTGATCATCAGCTGTTAGTTTTTGTTTTAATTTTTTTTTTTTTTACTTTTTTAACTAAAATCTTGTAATAGCTTTTGCAAAAATGTAGATGCAAATAAAAATGCCCTTTTGCAAATTAAAACTCTGATACGGAAAAGAAAATGATTTCTTTTAAAAAATTTAAACCAATAGAAAAAGTCAGCTAAATACATATACACGTTTATGGAAGTTCTGTAATTCATACCAAAAAAATAGAACAGCCTTTTGAAAATTCCTGTTTCGTTTAATCGTCACCATAATCTGGTTCATTTTGAAGTTCATCTCTAATTAATTTTGAGGGGTAAGGACTGTTCATCTTTGTTGATAGAGAGTGATACCAACCACCGAACAGACACCGTCACGAGCTTTATACTTGCTCGGTGGTTCATCCTCCGTTTTCCTATTTAATCCCTCTCTTTACGTTGCCTCCTTCATCACTCGCCCTCTCACTATGGCCACAGACCCACTCAACGACTCCCACGTGGCAGTTCTCGCCTTCCCCTTCGGTACACACGCCGCTCCTCTCCTCGCCGTCACGCGCCGTCTCGCCTCCGCCTCTCCCACCACCGTCTTCTCCTTCTTCAACACCGCGCAATCCAACTCGTCGATATTCTCCTCCGTGGATGCAGATCGTCCGGCGAATATTCGAGTCCACGACGTCGCAGACGGCGTTCCGGAAGGGTACGTGTTCGCCGGGAGACCACAGGAGACGATGGAGCTGTTTCTCGTAGCTGCGCCGGAGAATTTCCGGAGAGCAATCGCGGCGGCGGAGACGGAGGTCGGTAGGAGAGTGAAGTGCGTGTTGACTGATGCGTTTTTCTGGTTCGCGGCGGATATGGCGGCGGAGATGAAGGCGACTTGGGTTGCGTTCTGGACCGCCGGACCAAACTCGCTCTCTGCTCATCTCTACACAGATCTCATCAGAGAATCCATCGGTGTGAAAGGTAATACAAGTTTTTCTAATTACCACTTATGAGTTTTGTCTTTAGCTATTAAATATGCAATTAAAAGAGAAATTAGTTAAAAGAGGAAGAAAGGATTAAGAAAACCGTGATTTGAAGAATGTGCAGTGATTATATATGTATTCGTGGTAATGATTTTTTTAATATATATACGTTCCTGACGCACAGAAGTCAATGAGCGTATGGACAAAACATTAGGGTTTATCTCAGGAATGGAGAAGGTCAGAGTCAAAGACACACCAGAAGGAGTTGTGTTTGGGAATTTAGACTCTGTTTTCTCTAAGACGTTGCACCAAATGGGTCTTGCTTTACCTCGTGCCACTGCGGTTTTCATAAACTCATTCGAAGAGCTAGATCCTACGTTGACCAATAACCTCAAATCGGAATTCAAACGTTACCTAAACATCGGTCCTCTCGCGTTACTATCTTCCACACCTAAAACAGAGACACTAGTGCAAGATCCTCACGGCTGCTTGGCTTGGATGGAGAAGCAATCGCCTGCTTCCGTAGCGTACATTAGCTTTGGTACGGTCATGACGCCGCCTCCTGGAGAGCTTGTGGCGATAGCACAAGGATTGGAATCGAGCAAAGTGCCGTTTGTTTGGTCGCTCAAGGAGAAGAACGTGGTTCATCTACCAAAAGGGTTTTTGGATCGGACAAGAGAGCAAGGGAAGGTGGTTCCATGGGCTCCACAAGTGGAACTGCTGAAACACGAAGCAACGGGTGTGTTTGTGACGCATTGTGGATGGAACTCCGTGTTGGAGAGTGTGTCGGGAGGTGTACCCATGATCTGCAGACCGTTTTTTGGGGATCAGAGACTCAACGGAAGAGCAGTTGAGGCTGTGTGGGAGATTGGAATGACGATTATCAATGGAGTCTTCACAAAAGATGGATTTGAGAAGTGTTTGGATCGAGTTTTGGTTCAAGATGATGGTAAAAAGATGAAGGGCAATGCCGAGAAGCTTAAAGAAGAAGCACACGGAGCTGTGTCTGCGAAAGGAAGCTCCTTTGAGAATTTTAAGGGATTGTTGGATGCAGTTGTGTAAACATTTTGATATAATTTGAATTAAGCTTGGACAAACAAAAAAGGAACACTTTCTAATAGTGGTAACAAAAATAGAGCCATTGAAGATGAATGATATTTTGCTAATAAGATGAATGATATTTGCTAAAAAACCGACTCCTTATCCTTTTTTTTTGAATTATCGTTGGATATAAATTATTGAAGACGAATTATCAAAGAAACGTTGGACGTGTAATAGTGAAAATTTTAGGTTATGAATATAATAAAGGGTAAATAAAATTCTATTAATGGTAATAAATAATAGAGTTAAACAAATGCATTGCACCTAAAACACGAATCACCGAGTAAGGATAAACAAAAACACCCGAAGAAGGTCTAATATTTAAAGCCAACGCAAAAATCAGCCAACCATGTAACTAGAGACGAGCCCTAAGGTTTAAATCTACATTAAACTCAATTAATTAACCAAACAAGACACTAATTTACCCCCAAAGATCTTTCAGTTTCTTCGTGAACACTTCGAAGAAGGCAGCAGAGATACAGTCGGGGAAATCAATGTCTCTCCTCAACTCTTTCCTTGCTTTCCCAAACCTACCAACTCGGGAAAGCTGCTTCTTGTTGCAGCCTTCAAATGTTTTCACGAGTCCAACATCTCGTCTTGAATCTCATTAGGAGCAATAAGCCCAGGAATCGAAAGCATTCTTTGACGCTCTTGCTCTCTCTGCGCAGCTGCTTCCTCCGCATACAGATCTTTGTTATCCTGAAAGTTAATAACATTCAACAAATTAGTTTTGGCTATTAGTTTTCACTTCTTTAAACCCAAGTGAATAGCGTCGTTCAAGAAAAGTTTGAATTACCTGTGCGGAAAATTCCTTAGACTGTACGAGGAAGTCACGGATTTTATCCTTAAACCCAGACGGGTCATTTCTAGACTCGTAAAGTCCATTCACAAATTGCGTGACCTGTACATGTATTGATACTCAGTAACAGATTTGTGAGAATACAGCTTGAAAACTGTGAAAGCAAAACCTACTGGTTTTAGTTTTTACTTACCTCTGCTGCAGTCATGTTGGGGAATGAAGAGCTCAACAGCTTAATGGTGTATTCACGAACAAAGGCAGCATTGTTCGGATACGGGTAAGGTACGGTTGCAGTATCCCACAAAGGTTCCGTCAAAGAAGCGCTCTCAACCTACAATAGATAATCAATGAACGTCTAAGCGCATAGAACTACCCATTTCCAAGCAAACACTAAGCTAAGATGAGAGGAGAGACTGGTTCTACCAGGCAAAACAGTTGTTGCAGCACCAACACATGCAGCTTGAAGCCAGGCTTGTGGAAGGTATCAGTCAAAACAGCAAATATTTCTTGCTCGATTTGTATAAAGTATGACCGGAAGAATTGATTACAGAACTCAGATTGCTGCCACAATCAGATGTAAATGTTAGGCCAGGAAATAATATATGCCACAACAACTGAGCTAAAACAAGGAAAGCATGCACCAAACCTGAAAGTTTTTCAGCATCGCAAGCAAAAGATTAAGCCCCGTTTCAGCGATATTTCTCTCAGTATGTCTAAATGCCCAGATAATTGAATCCATCACGAGCTTCAGTTGCTGATGCAAAATGACAAGAGAGCGAGAAAGGTAAGTGAATAATGAGACAACCTTAGATCCACCGAAGAGAAAAAATGTGCGAAAACATATTCACCGACCTGACTTGATAACTTTATCAAGGCAGGGAAACAAAATGTAGCAATAGCGCGGAGTAGTGAGAAAAACTTGAGGCGGTGTTCCGGATAATCTTCAAAGTTCTTGGTTATCATCTGCAGAAGGATGACAAAGTGTCAATAAGTATACAAAGCATACATCAGACCTCCATGTAAGTTTTTTCATCCCGTCAATCAAAATCACATACTGCACCAATTACTTAACATTTCTACAAGGAATAAAGGAGCTAGTAAAGAATCATGCCACATAAAATCATTCAAAAAGGCCCTCCTCCTACTTCCAATTAAATATCAAACCTAAGGTAGGTGAAAATATGATTAACTTTCCAGTCTAAACTACTTCAGGTTCTTCACCACAGTGAGAGTGCCAAGTCTCCTCATTTATGTTAACAGCTGTAGTGTGAATGTGAAGAAATAACAAAGAACATGGTCTAGTTACCTCCAAGGTACACTGGAAAACAGCTTCAAATATGTGAGGCACGTCTTCCAACATTGTTGCCTTGTACCTGAAAGAACAAATCAAAATCATTCCAGCTTTAAGAAAAGTAAGGTCCTGAATCAAATCTTGCAGAAATAATTTTCAAATATATTCATCGATCATATAATGATTAGGACGAAAATAATCCAGAAAGATGCAGATGACACATATCCATAATTACTACGGAACGTATCAACCAATAAGAGGCATACTTGTTTATAATCGTTGCAAAAAGTGACAGAACTTCTGATTCCCTAGCATCAGGCACATTCCTCGCGTAGTCACCAAGTACCGATTCCATCATTGGAGGCACAAACTGTTTTCCTATGTGCGGTTGGTCTTCAGCTTTGTCTAAAAAGGTCTCTATCAGCTTAAGGGTTTCCCTCTTAACAGATCTGTACATCAGAGCATAACAATATAAAATTATTCCAGGTTTTCCAAATATAGGTATCAAGAGCCGTGTGTCTCTGGTGCATAAAACCATCCAAACCTTAATAGTTTTACAAATGATGTCTTGGAAGCATATGGCCCCCCATCAGTAATGCTGGTTGACACAAGCTCACTGTACATTCTGGTGCACCAATGGAGAAAATACAATGAGTCCACAAGTAAAATCACAAAGGAAATATTATTATAGCTATTAACGGCTGTATTGGTGTATCATGAAGTTACCTGTACACGTTCAACATATCCAAGAATATCAAAGAAATTTGGGATAAGAAGTATGTTCCCAGAGAAGTAGCAGCACTAGTGTTAGTCTGCATGGAAAAACATGTTAATAGTAACACCTAGCAATAAAATCATTTATCGAAACACCATGCACAAACTGAACTATTAAATGACATGATTCAACGTGATGATATAATAATGTATAATGAGTAATAGAGAAGTCAGACCTGTAGAATATTAAGCACTGTACGTATCACACCTGGATCCTTGAGGAATTCTACACTTTGGCGTGCTTGCCCTATGATTTCTGCCCATTTCTGCATTATAAAACGGAACAGTTTTAGCCGGCTATGTAAACAAAAGCTTAGCAGTCACAAATTTAATTAACATACCTGGTTAGGAAGAGCCATCAACCTCTGTAAATATTCATCTCTCTTTTGAGGATCTGATTCTGCTTGGATCATATTACCAACCTAGAGATAGAGAAACCATGAAATCACAAGTCACCTCAGAGAAATAGCTCTAATTGGCAGACCAGAAATGCATCTGGAAAACTTACAGATTCATAAAATGAGTGAATTTGATGAGGCTCAAGATCTTGAACAGTTGTTGCAAGGCCTGACAGAAGTTCAGATACAAATGGCTCAGTCTCTCCAACCTGAAATCGCAATGAATTATAACTAGGATCTCTTTCAGAAGATAATAGAAGAATAAAAAGGTAAACTGAACATAGTGAAACGAACCTGAACAATAACAAATTTACGCTTGCACTTCTGAACTATTTTCAAGAATGTATCACACGCCATGTCCTGAAAGGAAAACACAAGTATTCAGCGTCTTTAATTAGAACTTGTATGCAAATTCTATGCAAGAATGTTCAGACCAAGAAAATAGTGAGATTCTAGCTTGAGCTGATTTGCTACCAATATAATATCCCAGAAATTATATCTTATTCTCGGATTTAAGAGAGTAATAAATTTTTAATCTGAGATTCTACCTGGAAAACTACAACTCATTTTTTTTTTTAAGTTTGAGAGGCTACCTGAACACCAGGATGCGTCTCATGCATAAATTCGAACAGCTTATTCACAACTGTTTTCAAAAACTTCCAATGGGCCCTTAAGAACCTTGGGTACTGGCCAACGACATACCTGAAACAAAACCAAAGCAGAACATAGAGGACAGATTTAACAAAAAAAGGATAAATATACCTCTCAGATCTTTCAGCTGACTATGCATAATTCTAGTGCGCGCTTGAGAAGAATAGGATATACAATATACTTAAGTACAGCAACCTAGGCAGAAATTCAGCTGCACTATATAATCCAGAAAATGAAGCAACACACTTACATGATGTTGCTAGCAATAACGGCTTTATTGTCTTTTCCTTTGGTAATTTCACATAAATTTAGCAAATCACGAATGACCATCACCAAAAATCTGTTTTCCTGAAGAAAAAAAGAAACATAAAGCTCAATTCATTCGTTAGCACAGAATTATCAAGGTTGAACACACCGTCCCAGAAAACAGTACGGAGCAGTCAAGCAGATACTGATAAATCATGACATGTCGGGTGCTAATGAGATAAAACAATTAACATTAAGTTGACACAGCCAATTTTTTAGTGTAAGTTATCCTCAAAGCAAATATGGTATACTAGCCAAAATACGGAAAGGAACGGCATCACAAAAAAGGCATTTCCATTTCTATGAGAAGAGAAAAAGGCATAAGGAATCAGGCTAAGCTCTATCAACAATTTTACCTGATCTTCTGCCATAGATCCAGAAATAGACCCAATAGCCCAGCACAAAGTGTTCAGATTGTTCCATGCCCATTCCTCCCCATTTAATTGCTTGTTCAGCTTCCTCAACATCTTTTAAAGAGACAAATCCGAAGTTTACATCAGCACAATAACATGATACAGAATAAAGACATCTCACATATGTAACAGCAAAATTCATGTCTAACAACACGTCCACATTTAAATTGCTAAATTTAGGGTACTACTGATCATTTTCCATCGAACAAGGACTTGTATCGGAAAAAGACTCATTTCATAGACACCATATTTGATCACAACCCTCGAACTATTTATCCGCAATATATTTCACAAATCAATATGCATAGACTTGTATCATCATGATCAGA